CGTCATGCGTTATTCAAAATGGAAAATTAGAAATGAAATGGAAAACATTTATCCGCTTAAAATATACTTATCAAGCAAATATATAAAGCAGTGAAGTAGTTACTTTATGAATAGTCTGAACAATACGGGACCTATTTAGCTATTATGAACTTAATGGGTTTCACAAAGAAACATGAACACATTAAGACATATTAGTGCTAATTTTGTCCGCAGTAAATGCAGTTGTATAACGACCCCTGTATCTTCTGACAAGAATAAAAAGAAACTTATACAAAAATGGACGTTCTTGAAAGTTCGCTTTCAGTACAAATTGGCTGTTTTTGTCAATTTGGTGTTGTGGCGGTTTCTATTTGTGCATAATACCGAAATGATGAATTATGTATTTTTGAAACCCCATAAACTGCACTTGTGTATATGACAGATATGTTCTCGTCGCTGTATGGCTGAAAAAATGCCGATGTCACCTAAACTTGCAACTCAACTAGAAAGGAGAATGCAAAACCGAAAGGAGAATGCAAAACAGAAAGGAGAATGCAAAACAGAAAGGAGAATGCAAAACAGAACGGAGAATGCAAAACAGAAAGGAGAATGCAAAACAGAAAGGAGAATGCAAAACAGAAAGGAGAATGCAAAACAGAACGGAGAATGCAAAACAGAAAGGAGAATGCAAAACAGAAAGGAGAATGCAAAACAGAAAGGAGAATGCAAAAAATACCCCAAAGTATCGATGATGATATAGGCAATTCTTTTAGAGGTGAGGTGAGGTGAAACTGGATTTAACGTCGTGCTTGAGAATATTTCGCTCACATGACGACGTGCATGCACGTGTATGTGTGTGTGTGCGGCTGCTTGTACTAGCCCAGACTTAAGCTGGTTTTATAGTGCTAGCTCATTGAGACACCATGCCGCAGTGAAGCATGAATACCCCACTCAGACACATTATACTGACTCCGAGCCGACCAGTCCTTATTGTACCCATTAATGCCGAGCGCCAGGCAGGGACCAACAAGTACCATATTTTAACGTCTTTTGGTATGACGCGGTCGGGGATCGCCATCAATTCAGTAAAGCATGTCTCTGATTTTCAAACACACTAGGTTTATCTCCTAAACATTATATAGTCTACCCAGTAAAACGCATGTAACTTCTTATCATATTTATGAATGTATTTTGGGCCAGTGGCCTATAACTGAATAAAATGTCGGTCTGTCTGATACGAGTCTGCCAAAAAGTATAAATTTGTACAGTCCCACCTTTGACCAGACTGCATACCCTTTGTTTTCTTGATAACGACATGGCATTTCCTTTGTTTTCTTGATAACGACCTGACATTTTCCTTTGTTTTCTTGATAACGACATGCAATTTCCTTTGATTTCTTGATAACGACCTGACATTTCCTTTGTTTTCTTGATAACGACATGGCATTTCCTTTGTTTTCTTGATAACGACCTGACATTTCCTTTGTTTTCTTGATAACGACCTGACATTTCCTTTGTTTCCTTGATAACGACCTGACATTTCCTTTGTTTTCTTGATAACGACCTGACATTTCCTTTGTTTTCTTGATAACGACCTGACATTTCCTTTGTTTTCTTGATAACGACCTGACATTTTCCTTTGTTTTCTTGATAACGACATGCCATTTCATATAATCCGATCCACCACGAGTGAGTGACTTTAGTTTTACGCAGCTTTTAGCAATATTCCAGCAATTTCATGGTAGGCGGACACCAGAAATGGGTTTGGATTCACACATTGTACCCATGTGAGGATTCAAACTCGGGTCTTCGTCGTGACGAGCCGCTTTTACCACAAGGCTACCCTTCCTCCCTCGATATGCACCATGTATTCATTGACATGTGAACGCAAAGATTTGTTTAAAAAGCACTGTTTGCTATAATTCACTATTAGAAAGAAAAATAGAAAAACATAGTATCAAAGGAGCGACAAAGTCTTCTGCGGTTACAGCTGGCTTTGAAAATGCATGACATTAAATTCCAGCATTTGTTGCTAATAGTTACTGTAAACCAAAAGTCACTGTGTTCTTTAATCTGATTGGTTGAAAAACGTGATCAAATGGTATTCGACACTCTCCTACCCAGAGTTCCATGCGGCAAGCCAGCATAGTACCTCTGCCACAGCCAAGAAAAATGTGACGATTCGTCACATCTTGCACCGTCCATTCAATACAATTTACATATTTCTAAACTTTTTTAGTTTTGACGAGTCTACACAACTAATTAAACATCTTTGATAATATGGTTTAGTTTCATTGAGAAAATATTCTAAAACATGTAACACTATTTCGATTTGCGTAGCGATCCTTTGTTTACATAGGTTGTACGGCTCCACGCGCTGTCATCGAAGCTGATGCAGCAAGTTTGATATCTAAATATGTACTGTCATAGACCTTACTGTCGCAGTTGTGGAAGAATATTATGTAACAATGTAAAACATTATGAAGAGAGCGCCGAAAAGCTTTCGTGAGTCCAGTCTCTTCTTATTATGAATATGCGCGTTTGATTACAAACAAGAGAAAAGTCCGGTCACGTGATATGCATAGCCTGTGGCAGTGATTTAGAGAATAAGAAAGTAAGAATATTTATGGATAACAACTTCTTTATTATATATGATGCGACGTTTCGGTATGGATTCTTATACCGTTGTCAAGCAAGACTCTTGCTTGACAACGGTATAAGAATCCATATACCGTTGTCAAGCAAGACTCTTGCTTGACAACGGTATAAGAATCCATACCGAAACGTCGCATCATATATAATAAAGAAGTTGTTATCCATAAATATTCTTACTTTCTTATTAGTCACCAACTTCTAAATGCCAATCAAACAGATCAGTGATTTAGAGAATAGCCAACTCGGTACGAGCGATTACGGGAAATATCCCCGAGTTGAAATAATGTTCACAGTGCCGAGCAAGCGTCCTCGTGCTTTAACTATAATAGTTCAGGGCAAAAGTGTGTTTTATTACACTGTACATGGTGGTAGAGCGAAGTGTATGTCTAAATACAAACATCGCTCACACCATATTAGATTGTTACGCCGGCTGTGATGACATCATTAAACTCATAATGTAATGAATGTGTGTCTTTGAAATAAAACCATATTTGACTTCGTACTTACAATGTATATTAATGCAGACTTGTTCTCGTCACTATATGGCTGGAATAATGCCGATGTGACGTAAAGCCCAACTCAACTCAACTCATTTGGAACCGACGGAGTCAAATGAAATATTCCCCGTGCTTCAAATACTCAATAACACCCGAAAATTGGCCAACACATGATGTTTATCGACATTGTAAACACAAACGTAAACCATACACGTTTTTGTGTCTGCACTCATTGACATCGAGTACGGCACAAACTACAGCGCCACCATCCTTGGATCCATCTGTAAATAAGGATTTATATGTATTATATTTGATTTTTAATTGATTATATTCTTGTTTATACAGTAATTCATAAGTTTCAGACTTCTTAAACTTTGTCAGAGTTAGGTCAACTTCAGGCCTCACCAGTTGCCAAGGAGGAGAAGAAAGAAGACGGGAAGGAGATATATTATCCAGTTCAAGGCCGGCAGCAGAAAGAAATGGTTTAATTCTGTGCCCAAGGGGTGGAACAAGAGAAGGTTTTTTGTTGTATAAATCCTCATAGAGGGGGATTAAAGACGCAGTTATATGCAGGGTTAGATTTGTTTGAGAACAGTTTGGTAATGTACTGTAATGATAATTTGATACGGCGTTGTGCAAGAGATGGCTCATCTGCCTCTACGTAGAGGCTGTCAACAGGCGAAGTTCTAAAAGAGCCAAGACAAAGTCTCAGACCTTGGTGGTGGACAGAATCTAATAGTTTAAAGTTGCTTTTGCAGGCTCCACCATAAACGATGGAACCATTATCAAGTTTGGAACGTACCAGTGATCAATATAGATGTAGGATGTTGAGTTGTTGAGTTGGGCTCTACGTCACATCGGCATTATTCCAGCCATATAATGACGAGAACAAGTCTGCATTAATATACATTGTAAGTACAGAGTGGTTTCGTTTCAAAGACACGCATTCATTACATTGTCATTTTAGAACAGAGAATGTCATAGCACTAAACTGAAAAGCAGGTAAATTCGTTAGTCACATTACACAGTTACAATTTATGATATAGATCGACTTCCCTCAGGTAGTTCAGTATCAGGTGAGCGCTCACGCTGGAGAACAGATCTTTCAGATTGGCTGCATGATAATGCGAGTCCCTTTTTTGTCATCGTCTTCGAATTGATTCAGGTTTTCTCTTTATATTGATTATTTTCTAATTAGTTTTGAAATTCTTTCATTTCAGTTTGGATTCATCTTTCTTTTAAATGCTGATTTAAAGTTAAGTGATTCGCCTTCGATTGATAATCTTATATCGGTCATGTAGATCATTTATTTATGTACTTTAAAGATCACTGGCAGCAGTTATGACTATAAAATATTGCCAAGACAGACTAAATATTCTTTGTTTTAATGTTGTTGTTTGTTGTTGTTTTTTGGTTTTATAAAAACAAATCCGATCACCAAATGTATTCCATGCATCATTTATTTATTACCAGGGTTGTTCATTTGCAGTCAATAAACTGGTATATGTTGGGCGTATTCAGCTCTTGGAAAATTCTCAGAAGATAATCAATATTTTCTTTGAAATCCTAAATGTCTGCATACGGCCTAATACAAGCAAAGAAAACACACACAAACGCGACTTCGAGCACCTGTCCGTGCAAAGCACAACAAGTTATAATTATTCACATGTAATTACCTCAGCAGTCCATCTTTTGCGATATTATATGATGACAAGTACATAATCATATACTAGCATATTCTATTAACAAAACAAATTTGTATATATAAATAACGCTAGGCGTTGAGAACAAATATGTAATAATGTGAAACATATTCAACAATAGTTGTTCTACAGATAGTATTCCATGCACCTGGCAACACGAAAGCTTTACAAATGGCGACAGCCGCTATTCCATCATGCGAAGAACGACAGCACTCACGATGTAAACAAACCAACGTGTGACATGCCTTGTGCGATTGATACCAAGTAGATATCATCTCAAGGATATAGATGCCATAGAAAACGAGTAGTCAGCGATCAGGGCGGGAGTATATCCAGCCGTACCTTGGTAAAATGAGCGAGACAGCGAGAATGTCGACGAACTCGAGTCCGACTCGGTCAACTAAAGACATGGACTCCAGCAAAAGCCCTGAGAGACAGGAGAGGTACGTGGAGGTCTAATAATCTAAATATACCCGATACGACGCCGCATAAATATTTGTCCCTGTCATTGCTTCTTTCAAATTTATACATTAACAATATTCATTCCAGTTGCACATTAAACAGATTCCATCACACTGCATTAACACGTACAGTCCGTATTTTTTCTGTAACCTGCATCACAAGCCCACCCTGAATATTTATTCCGACGTGAAATAAAGAAAACTTTTCCTATCTCAGTTGTGCCCAGGCTGTGATATGTTTACCTCATATGATAGAATTGTACTGTTACTATATTCAAAACCCAAAAACTTCAGAAAAACACAAATTAAAACTTTCAATTTTTTTTTACTTCTTTCTAACTAAGTGGACATTAACCATTTTCATTCCAGTTGTAGGCCTACACGAAACAGTTTCCATCACTGTGCTAAGATGTCTGTATTTTTTTTATTTAAACATTCATTATAGATCCACAAGACTATAGTGGGTCAGTTTGATTTTTCCTTCTAAGTTTATCAAAACTTGAAGCAAACTCTGAAGCACACATGCATTGTCTAGATCATAAATCTGTTGAAAGACTATTACCAAGTGATCAAAATGTCGAAATTTCATAAAATAAGCATCACATTTGGTGAGAAATATATTTGTTATTTTTGTTTATTTCAAAGCTCGGCTGTATGATTGTTGAACGATTCTACGGATGCTGTTGTGAAGTTTGACTAATTTGAAAAAAAATCATAAACCCACAGGCATTAGGTTGCATTGCACAGATGCCGTACGGTAAATACAAGTTTTTTTATAACTAAGGATCGTACAATCGTGGGATATTGGCACGGCTATCGTATGGCTACCACACGATCATTGTGCAGTCTCCGTAAGATCTCTGTACGATTTCTGTGCAGCATCAATGGCACGATGCCTGTAGACAATGTGAAGTCAAACATCGTAGTCACCCACAATGCCTAAAAAATCATAGATTACTCTTTAGTACTGCGCCCATGGCAAAATCGTCCCAGGATTTATTGGTTAAGGTTGGAGAAGAGAAACACTTTAACAAAATAACAGTATTTTATACATGGACAAGGCTGTTGTTTCGTTGTATTCTATTTGCATAAAGCAGGTTCCATCAACATTTTGAACATGGTGCTAATGAGCAGAACAGGAACAAGCATTATTTGACACAGACATGTCACTATTCCACGCTGATACTATTTTATAGGAGTGTCTATTGAGGGGGAAACAACTATTGCAATAGCAATAGTCTGATGTGACCAACTATTGCAATAGCAATAGTCTGATGTGACCAACTATTGCAATACTATTTCTATGTGTAATTGTTTATTCAATCAAGCTTGCGGCTATCATGTCGACTTTCTCTCAGAATGACATATCTGTTGGTGCCGGGAAAACACGATGGTATCTGAAAGCTTATTTTATTCATTCCGCTTAAAAAAAATAGGGTCGGCACCAGAATTCAAGGGTCGGTCCGGTAATCAGAACCACAACATTTTTATTTTTAGGCATAAGGATCACAAAAATTCACAACTTGACTTAAACGTAGATTTATAAATTGTATCCATATAAACCTGGCTAAATAATAATGTGGTAGCCCCTCTTTAGGCCTACCACCACTTTAAACTAACCTTATGCACCTGAAACATGAGTAACCATAAAAATGGTTCTCATGGCACCAGTCAATCATTTTGCAAATCATGGAACGAGTCATTGACAAGTACACAACACCTGTCAGTAGCAGGTGTGGGATCCACAAGATGAAATGACATACTGAAACCTAGGAGTGCGGTGCGGCGTTAAACTAACCTAAGTCATTCACTCTATGTTTTCATATTTTAAGTATATAAATTTAAAGGTCACATAAACCCTAGGGGGTAAAAATACATAAATCACTAACTGGCATCGTTATAAATGAAACCCCGTCATTAAAACTACTCATTTCGACCTTTAATTGACTTAAATCGACCTTTTTGACAACAGTGCACAATTCTCACCCGCGAACGAAATTTCAACCAATCAGAGCGGCGCGACTCTATGACGTCATATGAGGAATAGTTTGGAGGGCCGGTGCAGAATTCATCTACATTTTAGGGGTTAAATTATCTTGTTTACAAGCTTGTATAAACCTGAAATCGTGACAATTGTTGTGGAAAATGAAAGCTATATGTTCTCACAATCTACTGTCATTTAATTTTGTCTCCTGCTTTGCCTAGTTTCTGAGTTACAACTTGTTTTCATAGACGATTCTGTCAAAATCGATTGGTGTCAGTAGGGCCCTATTTGTATAATGACTGATCCAAATTGATCCCATTTCTGTGTTTTTTTACCTCGATATTTAATCATGTCATGTAAAAATCTGTTTGTATTCTCAAAACAGTGTCGGCCCATAAGTTTTCGCATGCAATACAGCAATTAATACTCCCTTGTTGTAACCCGTGTTAGGTGGTATAAACCTACACATGTTATTTGTCATCATTCACTTGATGGTCAGTTAATGAATTTATAACAGGTATAATATGTGGTAACACACTTAAATTACCCGACAAAGGTTCCTATTTGGCATTTCTTGTGTCTGGAGTAAATATTCAACATTATAAACATCAATCAAAGGATTAACCGATAACACGCTGATTGATTAATTACTTTTATCTTACACAGCGGAATTGTCAAAAGGTAGTGTTTATGTATGTAGATTTACTAATCTATACTGAATACACTCTGTCGTGTCGGTGTCTGCGTAAAAACAACGTCCTTCTTTCAAAGGATTAACCGGCAATACATTGATTGATTGCCCATTATTGGCTAACTAATTACTGTTTTTATAGAAAGGCGGACATTATGCAATTAGTTGCCAGGTGTGCTATCTTGGGTGACCAATGAGACTATACACCAATACCTGAAAAGATTTATCACTTTTTCGTATCTTAAACTGTTAAAAGACACATCATTTGGAACAGTTTTGTGGATATTGATGGATACATTCCTCGAACAAGGTAATGGCCTGATATTGTTCCTATAACTTTAATCTGTTTTAAATTTAATATTTTCATTTTGTTTTTATTCATTTGTCGTAGCATTCAACAGAATCATTGTTTTCGCCGTGAAGTGTAATGAGACAGACAACATGCACTAGGTGTGTGTCTGCGAATTATGATTCACATTGGCAAACTATAAAATGTCTAGATATTACAGTTCTGTTATAAATTCACTATAAGTATCAGCAGATCGTCTGCTTTTTATTTAGTTTCAATATGCATACAAGTATGATAATAAACTAATTAGGATTATAAGACCAAACATAAAGACGCACATTGACTAGTATCTACATACTGGTGAGTGGACATTAACCATGGGAATGTAGCAAGAAATTTATCGCGCAGCAGTATTGTGACTTCGACCCCACCTCGCCTTCCGTGGAAGAAATCGTTATGTTATAAGTTGTGTCATGCAAAATCCGTTTGGTTATGATTCCAATACATATTTAACTACTGAGTAGAAAGTAGTCTTGATTTTCTAACTTGATGAAAACAAACTATAATCTCATTAATTCTAACAGATTTTTATTCTTAAAAATGGCGGCCTCTATCGGGAACATCCGCCAGTCTGAGGATAAATGGTATTTAGGTTTGTTTTCACCGAAGTTACAAAATCTAAACTACTTTTACTGGTAGTAAAATATGTATTTTATTGATGGCCAATAGGATTTTGCATGACAAAGCCAGATAACATAACAATTTCTCTCGTGGCAGCCAGGTGGGTGTCAATATAATACTACTTACAATATTATTGTTACTTTGACCACAACCTCACTTCCGAGGAAGAAATCGTTATGTTACAAGTTGTGTCATAGAAAATCTTTATGGTCATCAATCATATGCATATTTTACTACAACTAGTAAGTAGTTTTGATTCTTTAACTTTCGCGGAAGGCGATCTGAACACAAGTAAGATATCGTTTCAGGCTTCCACAAACGCCGCTTCTCACTCACAAACATAACCCATTTAGCACGAACTGCGGGTCCTGTGGAAATCTGTGCATGGGGACACCATCGCCCGACCCTAGGAGCAATTGATCGACAAAGCAACGATTCGGCATGTCGCCGTTGATGTCGAAATCATCAAAATGATGAGCGTGCTACACATTTTCTATACAGCTAACTGAAAATCGCTCCTCATATGACGCCACTGCAGTGCTCTGGCGACAGAGTTACGTGTAACCAGTCTGGCGGTTTCGTTGGCGGGCGAGAGGGAAGCAGGCGACTTTTTTGCAACTTTTAATCGCTCGGTATTAATTAACCACAAGTTTTTAAAGAATAAATTTGGTGTTCCGCATAAGACTAACCACAAATCTTTCATATGTAATGGTTAAAAGAGTAACAAAAAACAAAGTTTAGTGGTTCTTTAAACAGTAAATGTAGATTTTTTATAGGAAGGGTTGTCAAGACTTGACAATAAATGGTAAAACCTTCATGAAAATAGGTTTAAAGTGTACCTTATTAGATTAGGAGTTCATTTCCATTAAGTGTGTCATCTCAGGACAGGGTGCCATTTAGCCATTAACAGGTTGCACCTTTGCAAGTTAATTTTAGATGGTGCAAGTAACATTTACCACCAGGTTGCACCCATTGCAAGTAACTTGATAGCTTCAATACATTGTAAGTCATCATAGCAACAGCGTTAATAATGAAACTTGCTAAAAGCGGCGTAAAACTAAACTCAGTCAGTCAGTGATAATGAAACTAAGATGTTCATTATTTCAGTAAATCTTTTTAAAGCTGAATTATGGATTTTCTCTGATTGAAAGTTTCATTATGAAGAAAGGAATTGAAATAATCTGTTGCACAGTGCATTAGTAACTCTTTAGCTCTTTTAGATTGGGTAAGATATCTATTTTCTTAGATTTTTGGGGGTGCAACCAATATTTTGAAAGAACAACCAAAATTATCCATCAGGTTGCACCTGATGCAATCTCTTCTAAGCAAACTAAATCGCACCCTGCAGGAGTACAGTCTTGTGATATGATGCAAAAGATGTTATTTGTTGTTGCCTTGCCTGTTACTAAGGAGATATAAGGGGTGATTGGGTAGCCTAGTGGTTAAAATGTACATATGGTTTTATGCTGCTTTTAGCAATATTCTATGAATATAAGAGCAGGGGACACCAGAAATGGGCTTCACACATATATGGAATCAAACTCAGGTCTTCGGTGTGATGAGGGAACGCTTCAAAGCCCCTATTATACAAGGCTGTCATGGCTCTGCGACTATGTTAAGTTTGTCATCTTAACGCTGTTATCACTTTCTGGAAGTGACTCTGGTGATTGCTGTGTAATTGTCCGGTTCTTGTAATCATTGATGTGTTGCCATGGTTACAGGAGGGCCATTCCCCAGGATCAGAAGCTGGAGAACAGACTGAACATGAAGGACTTGGAGAGCCTGCAGGGAAACTTCATGGTAGGCCTCCTCATCTCTGTATACAACAGATGGTTTATTGGCACTCAGCAGTTTATGCTTTAGGATATCGATTTGTTTGCTTGTTTGTTCAATGCCGCCGAGCTCTACAATTTTCAAGCTACATGATGTTTTTTTTTAGCTGTTTGATTAAAACCAGGCTCAGCAAACCCTTGTAACACCTCCAGGAGGTGGGCTTGAGATAACACAAGGCGCAACGTCAAAGGATGTTAGCTTTATTTCTTGAGTATACTTGTAAGATAGGGGGAACACTTAGTACACAAGTTGCAGAGTCCGACAGAGACTACCAGTGGAAGGCAACGAGGTGAAGTTGACACTTGGGCAGTAGATGGCTGGATTGGCTGGTCAGTTCGTCCCTTTAAGTCCCTGGTTTGCCTCTTCTGCTGGTCTGTCCACGCCCTTCCCGCTGTCTGCCGGCTCTGCTGGTATGGTGACTGACATGTGACATGTAATAGTGACTGACATGTGACATGTGACTGTGAATGACATGATGGTGAATGACATGCGGCGGTGAATGACATGTTTTGTGTTTGTCTACAGATGGAGGGCGAGGGTTATGACAACCGTCTCAGTCTTAACAAGGCACAGTTCTGTGAAGCTCTGTCTCTCCTGCTCAGGAAGGGATCGAGAGAAGAGGTAAGTGTCTCTCCTGCTCGGGAAGGGATCGAGAGAAGAGGTTAGTGTTTCTCCTGCTCAGGAAGGGATCGAGAGAAGTGGTAAATTTCTCCTGCTTAGAAAACCATCATGACAGTAAGGTGATCTTATCTCCCATACATACAATCATCGTATCTCTAAGACTGCTTTAGCAACAGAGTCCCAATCAAAGATATACATGAACTTTTTAAAAACTGAGACTTGGCATTATCTAAATTTGTATATGCATCCGGATTATCCTTCTTAGAAATTACTGACTGACTGAGTTTGGTTTTACGGCGCTTTTAGCAATATTCCAGCAACATCACGGCAGGGGACAACAGAAATGGGCTTCACACATTTTACCCATGTGGGGATTCGAACCCAGGTCTTCGTCGTGACGAGCCAACGCTTTAACCACTAGGCTACCCCACCGCCCCTTAGAAATTAGGGGTCTTCATATGACACATCTGATTTCCCGATCAGTCCCGTTGTAGGGGTCTTCATATGACACATCTGATTTCCCGATCAGTCCCGTTGTAGGGGTCTTCATATGACACATCTGATTTCCCGATCAGTCCCGTTGTAGGGGTCTTCATATGACACATCTGATTTCCCGATCAGTCCCGTTGTAGGGGTCTTCATATGACACATCTGATTTCCCGATCAGTCCCGTTGTAGGGGTCTTCATATGACACATCTGATTTCCCGATCAGTCCCGTTGTAGGGGTCTTCATATGACACATCTGATTTCCCGATCAGTCCCGTTGTAGGGGTCTTCATATGACACATCTGATTTCCCGATCAGTCCCGTTGTAGGGGTCTTCATATGACACATCTGATTTCCCGATCAGTCCCGTTGTAGGGGTCTTCATATGACACATCTGATTTCCCGATCAGTCCCGTTGTAGGGGTCTTCATATGACACATCTGATTTCCCGATCAGTCCCGTTGTAGGGGTCTTCATATGACACATCTGATTTCCCGATCAGTCCCGTTGTAGGGGTCTTCATATGACACATCTGATTTCCCGATCAGTCCCGTTACAGGATGTAAGCTGAGATGATGAGAAGTTGGGATTTCATTGCTACTTCAGTCAAGTGGAGAGTGTTTGTGTGTTTCAGTATGCAGAGCTGTTTGACAAGATAGATGTGACGCGTGAGGGGACGGTCGACTGGGACAAGTTCGCGTCGCACATGCTGCTGGAGTTCTACGAGAGAGACGACCGTGTTAAGTCCACGCAGGTGCCCCAGTGGCGGGATCTCAAGTCTCTGCCGAGGTACGCACAAACTCAAGTAACACAGATCGGTGTAGTGTTGGGAATTGGTTCAAATCTCATAATTGATGATTGGTTCATTACTACCGATCAATCATCGAAAATAATTGGTTAGCATCATTTATGAAGTTTGTTAATGAACACAAAAATAAGGTAAAAAACAAGTAGTTCTTTTGGGTTTTTTTGTGCAAAATTGCACATCTTTGAAGGATGACTAGTATGTTAGGAACATACATTTCTTGGAATCTTTAAGATACCGTAAGTTCAATCGTGACTTGAAACGAGCTTGTAGTGCTTATGAAATGTAACAGACAAAACCAACCATGTGAAAAATATTGTTGATGAAAACAAGTCTTCCAGAATTGTTTGTGTTCGATTATGAGAAAACATGATCGATGTGCTTGGTCGTTTAGTCACTACGACCAATCTTTGATTATTTCAATTCATCGGACCACCACTAGATCTGTGTCCCTGTTAATTAGGAGATAACATACTGTGTTGGGAAATCGGAGGTATATAACGAAATTATTATAGCTCTAAATTTGATTTAAAACCAAACTCGTTGATGTGTGAACGCATTCGGTTTTAAATCAAATTTAGAGCTATTATAATTTCGTTATACACCTCTGGTAGAATGTCAGTTATGGGGTGGGCGTGGAGGTGCTGGCTGTCGGCTGAGCCACCACAAATCGTCAGGGTTACACTCAGCCACATGTCTGAAAATAGTGACCATTTTCTAGAAGGACTAGTTTATTGTCCCCTGCCGCAACGTGGAACAGGGTCTATGTATTCAGCGGCGTCTGTACGTACATCCCGATTCTTGTTAATGTGATATCTCATGAACTGTTGTACCAAATGTCTTCAAATTTGGTGACAGTCTACATTGGGGGATTACCCAGACACCAGTCAACTTGGGTGACCTTGACCTTATTTTCAAGGTCACCACAACACTTTGACCACTTTTCAAACACTTGTTAACGTGATATCTCATGAACTGTTGTGCCAATGTCTTCAAATTTGGTGACAGCCTACATTTTGGGATAACACAGACACCAAGTGATTTGGGTGACCTTGACCTTAGCGTTCGCTTGTCACTTACTACTCCAGAGTTTGAATCCCATATATATCTAGTGTTCTCCCTGTTGTAAATCTGATGGAATATTGCTAAAAGTGGTGCCTGCCACTTTATTAATGTATTAATAATGTATTCACCTGTATGTTTATACCAGCCCCCACAAGGACGTCATACAGCGAGTTGCCTACTTCAAGAACACCCACAGATACATCGCCATTAGCAAGGTAAGCATCAAGTTCTCTTGTACACTGAGACAATCTGTAGTCTACCTGACATCCGTGAAGATCCGGGTTAGAATTGATCTTCAGTAACCCATGCTTGTCATAAGAGGCGGCTAACTCTGGATCGGGTGGTCAGACTCGTCATTGTATCTCAACTGCATAGATCCATGCTCATGCTGTTGATCACTGGATTGTCTGGTCCAGTCTCGATTATTAACACATAGGCAGATCCCGGAATAATCAAAAGGGGGAAGAGTTCAGGGGGTATGAACTGTGTAATTGATCTAGACAGTCTTAGCAATAAGGTTCAATAATTCTGTGGTTACTTGGATTTGAATTGGTATTTTAAATGCTTATTGTCCTTGATTACTTCCCTTTACTACCCACAATTCCTTGTTTCCAGCAAGGGTCAATATCTATTTTGGGCATCGACCTACAGGTGCATATTACATGATAGTGGTCAACCTTAATTACCTCTCTTTGCTACCCATAATTCCTTGTTTCCAGGAAGGGACAATCTCCATGTGGGGAATGGACCTTCGCAGTCAACGCACCATCAAGACTGGCACTGACTCGTGTAAGGCGAGGGACTTATGGGTCACTCACTTTGTGCCTCTCCAGAACATCAACAAGATAGCTCTCGCCTTCACCAGCAAGGAAATAGGTGAGATATGAGTGAGTGTGTAAGTGAGTAAGTGCATGGGTGGGTGAGTGAGTGAGTATAGATTTACGACACTTTTAGCAATATTTTAAGCGATATCATTGCGGGGGACATGGGCATCACATATCGTGCCCATCTGGGAAATCGAACCCAGATCTAAAGCATGATGAGCGAATGCTTTAACCACTCTGCTACCCCCACAACCCCAAGGTAAGACAAAAACAGAAGCATTCCATGTACCAATAGAGGCCACTATGAATAATTGTCCTATGCCGCAACGTGGAACAGGGTCTTTGTGTTCAGCGGCGTCCATACGTACGTCTTGATTCTTGTTAACACGATATCTCATGAACTGATGTACCCAATGTCTTCAGATTTGGTGACAGCTTACATTTGGGGATTACGCAGACAACAATTTTATTTGGGTGACCTTGACCTTATTTTGAAGGTCAGCACGACACTTTGGCCACTTTTCAAACTCTTGTTAACGTGATATCTCGTGGACTTTTGTACCCAGAATCTTCAAATTTGGTGACAGTCTACATTGGGGGATTATGCAGACACCAGTTTATTTGGGTGACCTTGACCTTATTTTCAATGTCACCATGACACTTAGAACTCTTTTCAAACTCTTGGTGACGCGACATCTAATGGACTGTTCTACCCAATGTCTTCAAATTTGGTGACAGCCTACTTTGGGGGGATTATGCAGACACCAGTTTATTTGGGTGACCTTGACCTCATCTTCAAGGTCACCACGACTCTTTGCACACTTTTAACACTTGTTAACGCGTTATCTCGTGGACTGTTGTACCCAATGTCTTCAAATTTGGTGACAGCCTACATTGGGGGAATTATGCAGACACCTTTATTTGGGTGACCTTGACCTTATTTTCAATGTCATCATGACACTTTGACTGCTTTTCAGACTTATTTAAACGCGATATTTCATAAAACATTGCATCCAATGTTTTCAATTATGTTGACAGCCTACATTGGGTGATTATGCAGACACCAGTCATTTCAGGCATCTTGTATGTGACCAAAAAATAAAAAGTAGTAAATATAGACATTCCATTCTTTAGCGGCGGGGGACATTGCCATATCAGTGGCAAACACTTGGGGTTTTTGTTTTTCATGACTACTATTGGTCAGAGTACCATCTACCATAACCATCTGTCATACAATCCCAGGAACCAATATACCCCATGCAGTCCTAGAGTGAGTGAGTTTAGTTTTACACCACATTCAGCAATGATTCAGCTATATGGCAGCGGTCTGTAAATATTCGAGTCTGGACCAGACAATCCAGTGATCAACAGTATTTATGGGTTATAATGACATCACAGTGCAGATAATAATCCAGTGATCAACATCATGAGCATCGTCCTACCACCCAGGAAAGCCTAGAATATGTGGCAAGTCTAAATTACCACAATTGTTGAACATGAAGAAAGTAACTGTGCTCCTTTTTTTGTTTTTCATGTATATAATTTAGTAACTGTGTTTCTCTAAAATATGTTAATTTCGGTGACTAGCCCTTAGTTTATCCCATAAGGTATGAGTGTTGAATCTTGTTTCAAATGCTGTGAGTTTTATGCTCTTAGTTTTATCTTTCCAGTGTTGGTTTTACCTTTCCGGTGTTGGTTTTACCTTCACAGTGTCGGTGCTCTATGACCTGAGCAGTTTGTGTTTGTTGTTTCAGCTATCTATGACCTGAACAGTTTGTGTTTGTTGGTTCAGCCATCTATGACCTGACAGTTTGTGTTGTTGTTTCAGCCATCTATGACCTGAGCAGTTTGTGTTTGTTGTTACAGCCATCTATGAGCTGAGCAGTTTGTGTTGTTGTTTCAGCCATCTGTGACCTGAGCAGTTTGTGTTTGTTGTTTCAGCCATCTATGACCTGAGCAGTTTGTGTTTGTTGTTTCAGCCATCTATGACCTGAGCAGTTTGTGTTTGTTGTTTCAGCCATCGATGACCTGAGCAGTTTGTGTTTGTTGTTTCAGCCATCTATGACCTGAGCAGTTTGTGTTTGTTGTTTCAGCTATCTATGACCTGACAGTTTGTGTTTGTTGTTTCAGCCATCTATGACCTGACAGTTTGTGTTTGTTGTTTCAACCATCTATGACCTGAGCAGTTTGTGTTGTTGTTTCAGCCATCTATGACCTGAGCAGTTTGTGTTGTTGTTTCAGCCATCTATGAGCTGACAGTTTGTGTTGTTGTTTCAGCCATCTATGACCTGAGCAGTAAGATCGAGTTCAACTGTCAGTACAAAGTACAGGACCTGCCCTTCACACCGCTGTGTCTGGACTACTGGTAACTACACTCAGGCACTCACACACAGGCACTCACACTGAGACACACACAGGCACTCACACACAGAGACACACAGAGGCACTCAATCACAGACACACGGGCACTCAATCACAGACACACCGGCACTCACACACAGCACTTACACACGGGCACTCACACACGGGCACTCACACAGGCACTCAATCACAGACACACATGGGCACTCACACACGGGCACTCACACACAGACACACACAGGCACTCAATCACAGACACACGGGCACTCACACAGACACACACACACACTCTCAGACACAGACACACCCTAAGGCACTCAGATGCAGACACTCGGGCACATAGACGCTCTGACACACTCAGGCACTCAGATACACAGACAGTCACATGCAGACACTCAGATGCAGATGCTCAAACACACAGACGCACACTCAGACAGAGGCACTAATGCACTCAGACACAGCCTTTCAGATACACAGACGTTCAGAGGCAGACACACACTTATATGCACTCAGACATGGGCACAAATGCACTCAGACACAGGCTCTAATGCACTCAGACACACCGGTGCTCATGCACTCAGGCACACAGACACAGATGGTCAGACACACAGGCACTCGGACACAGACACTCAGGCACATAGACACATTGGCACTCAGGCACACCACTGTTTCTGGACAACTGGTATCCCAGACAATCAGACACTGAAACAGACACACAGACCCTTCCAAATACACTCATACAGGCACTCACCTGTTTTCGCAGGGAAATATTTATCCCTTGTGATGTAAACATGAACAAATGACTGAGACTTGAGGCTTAATTCTTTGATGAGTTGAAGACAGAGATCTGTATGATGATTCTGACTTGACAGGTCCAACCCCAACAATGTGAACGAGTCAATCCTGGCCTGGGGTGACGTGGGCGGCTTCATCAACATCCTCTTCTTCAGCTCGGCCAACATCGCTCTGTTTGAACGACCACCAGCCCCAGCTGGAGAGAAGCAAGGTAGAGTTATCTCCCTTAGAACATGAACCCACACCTCTCACTGCAGCACTGTCAATTGTTTATTTTTAGACAGTTAATGTGAATTCTTTTTAGTGACTGTTTAGATTTGAATTCATTTTTCAAATTTTCAGGACATATTCATTCAGGATTCCAATAAGTTTGATTTCATGATATTTTAACATTTCTTTGATAAATTGATAAACAAAGATGTTCTGTTTAACTGGCATTTTAGAAGTTGATAAATAATAACAAGGTAGGACGCTTTACGGATAACAACTTCTTTATTGTTTTATCATGCAGTATTTCGGTTTAGATTCTTATACCGTTATTAGAGCAAGCGTGCTTGACAATACTATACAAATCTATACCAAGAAGTCACATCATACTAAACGATGGAAGTTGTTATCCGTAAAGTAGCGTACCCTGCTTATCAGACATGTGATTCAGACTAGGTTTAGATAAGATGAGCTTATTAAGAAGGCCTTTCCTATTCTCGCGGTACTTACTGATATTGGCTGAAAAATAACACAAACAATTCTTATGAGATGAATGCTTGTTGTTTTTAAATGAAAGACCTTCTCCTCAAACATCTGCATCTATCAGTTGCTAGATCCATCAGGTGTATTACCACTCATGAGCCCGGTCATAAACAGTGCCATCCGCCTTCCACCAAATGAGGCTTCTCCCATTCTCGCGGCATTACGAAGAAGTCACGTTATGGAATGTTATGGAAGAGCAATCCTACCGGAAATGGCAAGGAAAAGTTATGATACGTCCAAATTTGTATAAGCTCACCAATATTCCTGCGTTGCAAGATTTTGATCTCCCGCAGACTTGGACCACTTCCTAGATACCGGTCGGCAAGGTAAACAACTGCTAGGTCTCGCGCATCAGCGATATTTACCGTGAGAATAGGAAACCCACGAGAGTAGGAGACGGAACTATAACTACAGTTTTCTCTAACCAGTGTGTTGCAAAGTAGGTTATGTGTGTGGCCCAGTTTTATAGCACAGTATATTTCTATCTTACTTGTTTGGAATTTCATTTAAACAGATACTCTGATGCGAAACACCTGTGTGAAGATCTTTTGAGTTCTGAATAGATTTATGTGTCACTTACGGATTAAGTAGAATATTGCTAACATGGTCTATTAGTACCAAGGATTTTATGCTTTTGACTGACTGACTGACTGAGTTTTGGTTTTACGCCGCTTTTAGCAATATTCCAGCAACATCACGGCGGGGGAACACCAGAAATGGGCTTCACACATTGTACCCATGTGGGGATTCGAACCCGGGTCCTCGGCGTGACGAGCCAACGCTTTAACCACTAGGCTACCCCACCGACCCTTTTTTATGCTTTTGGAATTGATTGGTGGGCAGTGTTTACTTGTGTTTGGAATTGTTGAAATCTCACAGTTGATTGGACTTCATTACCAACGCGCAGTCATAGAAAATAATTGGTTAGCATAATTTTTCAGATTTTCCTATTCAGGTTATTATTGCAGATAAGTATAACGTGGTTCTCTGTTTTTGGTTGTATTTAGAAACTGGGCAAATTGCATTTGCAAATTTCATATCCAGTCTAAAATGATGCAAGTTGCTACTTTAAAGTAAAGACTAATACACCATGAACATAAACTCCCTGGAGTCTTCAAGAAATATTCAGTCATGCCATTTCAGTAAGTGAAGTGAGTTTTCTGAGAATTAAACATGTTAACCACCCTGACAACTTCTAAGATATGTTCTATTGTCAAGTGTTTCAAACACTAAAACTGTAGTTCCAAAATCGTTTGTGTTTGATGATTGATTGCTTAGTTGTTTGGTCACTGCGACCAATCTTCAATTACCGGTATTTCAAGTAATCGGAACAACACTAGTGTCTACTCTCTTTATGACAAGATGGGATGCGTCACAGAGACATTGTAAATACTCGTATGAGGACTTGTGGTTCAGATAAAATTGTCTTGAATAAGTTGATGACATGTTTTACAATTGTTCGTCTGAGGATCAAGTAAAGAATTGGTGTTCTCAACCATCCGAAAACCCGAAACATGAGTGAGTGAGTGAGTTTTTAGTGTTATGTCGCTTTTAGCAATATTCAAGCAATATCACGATGGGGGACACCAGATATGGGCTTCACACACTGTACCCATGTGGGGAATCGAACCCGGGTCTTTGGCATGACGAGTGACGCTTTAACCACTAGGCTACCCACCAGCCATGTAACATAAACATAGGTTGAGCATGGTGGTGTAGTGGTTAGCATGCTGACCTCCAATGCCAAAGACCCGGGGTTCGAATCCCAGTGCAGACACCAAAATGTGTGACCTGGGTCTGATACTGTGTTATGTCCCTGGGCAAGGCACTTCGTCCACATGGCACTCAGTCCACCCAGCTGTTCAAAATGGGTACCTGAGAAGCAGATGTACAGACCTATACGGTCACGCTAAGCGCTTAGTAGCGGCTTTGAAAGTACAATTCCGTCAGGGTAATAATGCAACGCCAGAGAGCAGCATCGTGTTGGATTCTAGGCGCAAAAATTAGCACAATAATAATAATTTATTCAAGTCATTATATCAATTCCACCATGACAATATTAAATACTGGATTGTGATTGGTTAATTTATAGTCATTCAGAGGTATATAATCACAATTTACGGGTCTCTAATTTTTCACATTCAATTATAAATGGTTACATGCATACATTATACGCAAGAAGTTGTCATCCCTGGAGTCATATGGGCAGTTGGAGGGTATCAGAGCTTTCTGACATTGTGCGTAGTTAGCAATTTGGGCAAGCTGGGCCATTTAATGTTAGGTCCAATAAGGGATAATTATATCCAAAAAGAGAGGACAACCTGATAGGGGGGCTGAGGGTTGCATATTTCATTTTGGTGTAAATTTTGAATTTGATGTTCACAAATAAATCTTCATGTTAAATATTCCCATTCAAATCCAGACTCACAGACTTGGTCGACACATGTCATTGTATCCCAATTGCGTAGATCGATGCTCATGATGTCAATCACTGGATCGCCCAGTCCAGGCTCAAATATTTACAGACTGACGTCATCTAGCTGGAAAATTGCAGAGTGCAGCGTTAAACAAAAAACATATCATGATGTCAATCACTGGATTGTCTGGTCCAGACTTGATTATTTACAGACTGCCGCCATATAGCTGGAATATTGTGCAGTCATAGGCACCCGACTCTGATATATTTATAAGTATGACCTATATGTATAAGATATAAGAAGGTGTGTCAGTAAATGGAAACAAAATGGCGGCCCGGCTCGGCTCAGCTCTGTTTCGGTCTGACAAACGCTTCCATAGCTTTGACCGTTGAATAAACTGCACAATTTCTACTCAGTTGACCTCTGTAAAGTACCTTGCGTATCACAAACCTGGTGATTTTATTCCCATTTAAAGCTTTCAATAATTTTGCCGTCCATACTCGGACGATGTCAGGACATATGCCCGGAAGTAAACAAATCTCAGGCTACAGACCCACACCAAATGGTAGAGCGAGTCTCTGATTTGGATAATATAGTTGCACGTTAAAAGAGGTGGGAAAAAAAGAAGACGCTATCCAATCAGACACTCACTCTACTATTCGGTGCGGGTATGTAGCTCGAGATTTGTTTACTTCCAGGCATATGTCCTGACTTCGTTCTGATTTACTGACTCACCTTTCTTATATCTTATACATATAGGTCATACATATATATCAGAGTCGGGCGCCTATGTGTGCAGGGTGCCCTTAAACAATAACCTCATTATGAATGTGTTTAGTTAAGCAAGATGTGTTCCTAGTGGAGGATTTGGTTGAAGCATGTCATGATATTGTACAGCTGGAAAAGTGCTTAGAGTGGCAAACAAACCAACCTAATATTAATGCGTTTCTCTAAGTGAGATCCATTCCTAGTGGAAGAGGTGTGAGATTCATTAACCTTTGACCATATTGACTGCTTGCATTTACAGCATGGATGGGTGAGTGTTGGTAACTAGATGCTCGACCATACGCTGTCAGGTGCCGCAACGCTTACAGGACATATAGGTCCATCTTCCTCCATCTTCCTCCATCATCCTCCATCTTCCAGTGTGTCTTCACTCTGTTGTAGTCAATACCCTAAACCCATTACACCAGGTGTTTTGTTCAATAGAAAATTGAAAAGCAGTGTTTTATCTCCCTCAAAAAATAAAAAAGGAAACTAAATTTTCAAAAATTGTTTATTGTTACTGTTAAAGATTGTTGAAAATGTATCTTAAAAAGTTCGAAATATAACTTTGACAAAATTAGACATATTGTTAATTCAAGGGAGGTAATTCTGAAATTGTTTCTCACTTTCTCTCATGTCCGATTTTTTCCTTGTTCGCTGTCAACATGACTTCTTGATGAATAGTGAAACACATTTCAATTGAAAATTAACATTTTTTTACTTCTCTAATGTTTTTTGGGACAAATATCTGTTACTAAAACAGACAAAAAGCTCCTGTGAGATGCTTTCACTCACAAGAGTAGACTGAATGATAGAGACTTAGCGAGTCATAACCCAGAGAATGTGCCCAGGGTGTTTATGTTAACTGAATGAAGACACTATTCCCTGGATTACAGAGGATGATGTCACCTTGCTCCAAAACTCAGTTCAGTTGTACTGGAGTGAAATTCTAATAACAGAATTTAATACTGTTGAAATTCAACATTGAGGATGAAAATGGGTCAAATAACATTTGATTTAATTAATTCCGAAAAAGTAATTGCGAGTTTAGAGAAATGAAATATTTCAACCTTTACTGAAAATAATTTATAACAAATTCTCACTGTTTTTGCCAAATGTCATGTGTTAAGCACTATTTGTGTTATTGATTTCTGTCAACAAAACACGCTCGGCCAGGCATTCATCATGTTTTAAATACATTTCCTCCGACATTTCAAACATGCTCCTGTCAGCGTTGTTGCAGTGACAATATTTTCACAGGTGCATTCTGCGATACATATTATAATTTTTTTCTTTTTTTGTCGTCATTTATTTTTATTTTTTAAATTGCATTTGCTTTCTTGGATCACCTTTTGACGATGACTTGGATTAAACTTTGTCCCAATATTCTGCTGTGTTATAAGGTTATCTGCCTTATGGTGACAATAGTTTGATAGTTTCCTTTGATACTCTCATGTCAAGAGATCATGTAACAATCTATGTCTTTCTCTACGTTTTCTCATGGGTCATAGATTTAATTTTTAAATAAAATAAATTTACATGCAATTAATCAATGAAAAGAATTTGAAGTTGATTCGAAAAATGATTCATTTTGGTGTAAAATAATCATGCTAGCCCTAAAAATATTTATTGGAAAATATTGTACACAGCTTATCCTGAAAACAAACATAATGATGTAAAATCTAATGATGCATAAATGGTTGTATTTTTGTGTAAATAATAATGTTCGCCAAAACAGGATTTATTTGATAATATTGCACACATTTTTGTGAAAACAAACAAAACAGCGTAAAATGTGTTTAATCTCTCGCCGCTGATTGTTACAATAATTGCTATTTAAGCAAACGCTTTCAAATTTTGTCGCAATATATTGCATTGGTATAGAATACTGCTTCTAAATTTTCAGCGCCTTGAGCATGCACTAGTTGCCTGGATATGTGCGCTATTTAAATATCCTATAATAATATATTATCTACTTTTTGCAGAGCTATGTAGAGTTGCTGCCCCTGGCTGTATTAGGATCTGCTGATTACACACACATACTCTGGTTATGTAGCCATTTGCCTGGCAGCATACATGTTAATGGGTTAGCTGTATACCCAATGTACCTTGTCTTATTCATTTAGAAAAACTGAAGGATGTACTGTTACCATTAGATCCCAGAGGTACTTTAGTCACCGTGTTGAGTGGGCGGTGGGGTAGCCTAGTGGTCAAAGCGTTCACTCATCATGCCGAAGACCTGGGTTCAATTCCCCACATGGGTACAATGTGTGAAGCCCATTTCTGGTGTCCCCCGCCGTGATGTTGCTGGAATATTGCTAAAAGCAGCGTAAAACTAAACCCACTCACCATGTTGAGCAGGAGGGCCAGAATGGTAACTGTTCATCACAAAATTCATATTTTCATAAAATAAGTTTGTGATCTCTTGTTTGTTTACCTGAGACGATGTGATGTAGTTATTTGATAATGCAATTACCCCCCCAAAAAGCCCCAAACAACATGTACCAAAGAATGGGGCGTGTGACGTGTACCCAAGTGCCCATGATGCAAAAGAAAATGATGTCGTGCAGATCTTTAGGTTAACTCAGTAATTGATCGTGATCCTAAAAATAACTGATGACAGTGTAGGAAAGATAGCCCGTCCCAACGTCCGAGACGGGTGAATTTTGTGGCGGACGGGTTAGAAAAATATCTAGTCCGTCCTCATGTCGGGTCAATTTTAGCAAACCAATGACATATATATAATGATTATAACCTTTCTTAATATTACTGCAAAGGTGTTTTATTTATATTTGGAGGACAGGCTAGATTTTGGCAGGACTGGTAAAAAAATTGACCTGCCAGTCCTGTGGACAGGCTAGATTTTCTACATCTTTCCTACACTGTTGATGACAACAATCAAGATGTATGTTACGCTTCAGTCTAATATATCCTGGTCATGTTGTCACAGATTCAACAATTCATCTACACTATGACCCATGAAAAGTACCATCATTACATACCCACCTCCTGTAGCGATGTTTTCCCCTCCCTGTTCGAATGTTATGTGGTTGTTGTATTCAGAATGCAGCTGTATTGTCTTAATCTAATGTAATTTGTTTACTGACTGTTTATTTCAGGCGTTTATCCTCATCTTGAATTCTTCTATCACTTGTGTCCTGTCACTCTCTGACTTCTCTCTAATTACTGAGATACAGATAGTCAACTGGGGTGGAAATAACTTTAACATTGCTACTGTACTCTGGTACAGTGGCACATGTAAAATCACTTGCCCTGATAATTTTTTCCAGTATACCGGCCGTTTTCTTGTTGATCTTTATAAACAAACAACATAATTAACATTGGAAAGTCAACTGGACGCCAGTACAGTGTGATATACGAATTTGCTTGCCCGACAGAAAAAAACACTCGGACGTCGGGCAATGGGTTATTTCCACCCCTGAGTCAAACAGTGAATACAGAGCTGTATAGACACGAAACATGCCCGATTCCATTCTCCATATTAATAATAATATCACGACATTATCATTATCAGTGACCAATCAGCTGCCTGATGAGCTCTAATTAACAGTCACATGACCATGTTATTCTTCTGGGTACCCATGCATAACTTTCCTAACCTGTAAAGAGACATTTTTAATTCTGTTTCATTATTCTCTTAAAATCTCATCATCCGAAAGAGGTAGAATTATCGCCGTTAATCTGAACACGGAGCTATCGGCACCTACAGACTTCTTTATGAACATGTGGGGATTCTTGGTTAGAAATGGTTCTTCCCAATCTGGGAGGCAACTTGTTGCATTGTTGCTCCTGATATCAATCTATGACGTGTGAGTGAGTGAATGAGTTTAGTTTTACGCCGCTTTTAGCAATTTTCCAGTTATATCACGGCGGGGGATACCAGAATTGGGCTTCACATATTGTACCCATGTGGGGAATCAAACCCGGGTCTTCTGCGTGACGAGCGAACGCTTAAACCACTACGCTACCCCACCGCCCCCTATGACGTACAAGATCAATGGTCAGATATGGTGACTTTGTAGTTAGCCTGTCATTGTACAATGTTGCTCATGGTTTATAAGTCACTGGATTGTCTGCTTCGCTCTCAATATATATGCAGGCCGTCTTCATATAACTGAATTATTGTAAGTGGGACGTTCACCAAGGACAATCAAAATAAGAATCTAATACAATACAAGCCCTGTTTATATCTTTTAAGGACAAATGATTTTTAAAAAATTATATATCCGTCAAACTGAACAGATTAGCCATGCTGATAATATTATTTTTAATAACTAATTATCGAAGACAATTGTCTCAGATTATTGGTTTGGTATTTCTGTATGGAGTAGATAGAGTCTGGTCGGCTAGTTCTGTCAGCTGTTAGTTGCTTGCTAGAGGACATATTGGAGCTAGTCAGTAGTCATAGTGGATTTAGCTGTAGATAGGCTTGGACAGGATTACTGGCTTGTAGTGGACAGCATAGGTAGTCTATGACTTGAACATGGGGCAAGCTGGTCCCATAGCTGACTTTGTAACCAGGTTCCTGTCCGGGTTCGAGTCCAGGTTCGACCCTTGTAAGAAGCGACCCTGCAAGAGGCTAGTTTTGTCAACTTCAGGGTAGTCTATGGGAATGAAACTGGCCCCAAAGCCGACCCTGTAACTTTGGAGTCCAGGTTCGAATTGGAGCACAGGAACCATACTAGTTCCCTGTAAGAGGCTAGCATGGTCAACGACAGGGTTACTGGCTTGTAGCAGATGTACTCTGTGAGAGCAGCATGGGGTGGGTGTGTGTGTGGTCCCATAGCTGACCTTGTAACTTGGGGAGTCCAGGTTTAAATTGGACCCCACGAACCATACTGATTCCCAGTAAGAAGCTATCATGGTCAACTACAGCAACGATTCAGTGTGTACTTTGACACGTGACATACAACCTGTGAAGATCCGGGTTAGAATTGGCCGTCAGTAACCCATGCTTGTTTTAAGGATCAGGTGGTCAGGCTCGCTGGTTTGGTTGACACGTGTCAAATGTCACAATTAGATAGATTTATGTTCATGATGATGATAACTGGATTGTCTGGTCCAGACTCGATTATTTACAGACCGTGGCCATACAGCTGGAATATTGCTGAGTGCGGCGTTAAACAAGAAACCAACCACATGGTTACCATTCTCTTCCCACAGAGGTTACTTGTCATATCTTCCTACGAACCTCTTTTCTAATACTGAATATTTCCCAGTTCTCGTAAAATCCCCTAGCGGCAAAAAGTCGCAACACAAATTATCTCTCTTCTTTCTGTCCAATGAGAATATGTGTTACATCAACTTGACTAATACAAGCAAATGTTGGGTCACAAATATCCCTCCTCTGCCAGGAACGTGTGTTGATGTGACACACAAGACATTTAATGGCTTAGCTTGTCCATTGTCAACGAGGGCGATGGAGACACCATTGATCCGCCATTTATATGACTGAGTTTTGTCTATAAGAAACGTTTGCGCATCGCGCAGGGAAAGACGTTCTAGTTTTCCCGAAGTATACGGAAATAACCGAGGCCTTGCGAATGATCACTTTTGAAACAACATCGCTGATTGCACAACTGAATCTGATTGCAACCAATCACGAATCCTGAACACTCACACCATGAAAGGGCCGTATTAGAACAGAGGTTCGTAGGAAGAAATGACTAGTAACCTCTGTGGGAAGAGAATGCATGGTTACTGGTAGCACATGTAGTTTGTGATAGCAACATCGGAGAAAGCTGGTCCCATGGCTGGCCATGTAAGTTGGGAGTCCAGCTTCGAATTGGACCCCATGAAATACTGGTTTCCTGTAAGCTTGGCCAACTAAGGCCACGATTCAATGTGGTGAATTGACCCCACGAAATACTGGTTTCCTGTAAGAAGCTAGCATGGCCAACTAAGGCCACGATTCAATGTGTACTTTGACACATGACATACAACCCATGAAGATCCAGGTTAGAATCTGTCGACAGCAACCCGTAAGAGTCGACTGACGAGATCGGATGGTCAGGCTTGCTGACTTGGTTGACACGCATCATCGTATCCCAATTGCATAGGAATTGCTGTCAATCACTGGATTGTCTGGTCCAAACTTGATTATTTACAGGCCGCTGTCATATAGCTGGAATATTGCTGAGTGCATCGTTAAACAACAAACTGACATATAACGTACACCTTGTTATATAGTATGACCAGAAACTATTGAGAATATTAGGAATATGTTTAATTGGATTTCTAGTATAAACAACCTTGACCAGCTGTCAAGTGCTTGGTTTCATTCAAGAGAGACAACTCCGTTAATCCTTTTTCATTAGTTTGTGAAGAGTTGCCCCCCTTTGTTTACTTGCTAGCAGACAACATTTTCTTGTTGTACTGTATAATGCTAACAGTATAGGGTTGTTAGTCAACTAACTTATAGCTAAACTTTGCTGTAAGTACCTGATGCTAATTTGGATCTTGTTATGAGACCATTACTAGTGGATCTTACTAGACAAAACAGAATGTTTGCTTGAAGCTAAGGTATCTAGGTTAGCAGGCTGTAACAGGTAACACTCAGTCCTGTAGTCAAATCCTGGCGAAGAAATCGTACGTATTTGATGAAAATTTGCAGTTTAATTTTTGTAGTTGGGTTGATTTGACACAATGGCAAGTCAACCAATTCTCATGATAAGATGTATATGCTTGGATACTAATAGAAATAGTTTATAATCAAATTTGGAGTCAATACTTTCTATAGTACATTCAGTTGTCCCATTTGCGGGGTCAATACTTTTGTTAATTCTTGTTTTATTCAAATGACCCTTTTTATGTACATATGACTAGGGCTGACTATCGATATAGATCATAAAGATTAATAACCATTAACTAAAGATTGATTGATTATCGATAAATATAGAAATAACCTTGAGTATAAATGAAAAAAATATTCCGAAAGAAGTCAAGACTTTTGTGATCACTGGTGAGCGGTGACACTTCGGTGCGCCTAGTTGCTGCAAGAGTTGTATGCTCCCCCTAGGGAGTTGAGATTGACGATACGATGTGCCGTTGAGATTGACATCCAGTGAACAAGGGAAAAACAAAGCAAGCGCAAAGAGTCCTTTGCAGAGATTTACGCTATAAAAATGCTATCCATTATTATGTTTATGTTTATGTTTATGCATGAATGACTAACGAAACAGCGTCCTGAACATAATTTAGAAACAGTCCATGAATCAAAACCTAACTTTACGTATTGTGTAAGTAAATTAAATCTTTATTCTATCACCAAAGTTATGTACTATATTATCAATGACACTATTTTTGTATAGATAATCATTTAAAATTTTTCCTATCAACAATATTTCTGATTATCAATCTTTTTCGGCCAGCCCTACATATGTTTCCCTTGAAGAAGGGAGGGGGTCAAGATGACTTCCATGTTTGGGAACCAACAGTATTCCCTTTTAAATCCTTTTCAGTGTTTGATCAAGCTGCTGTTGGCAAATAACGTCAGTGAATCTCCAACAGGGGAATCTAGTCAGTAGCTGCATGTAGACTAAGCTGACCTTCTAATCATTTGTAGCAGAGAGAGAATTTTGTTTTCCATCATTGCAAAATGTTAAAGCCATGTAGTCTTTTTCTTATTTTCAAGCATATTTTTCACTTTTGTGAATATATTGTAGGTAGCTAATAATATGTATGAACATGTGATGTTCTTGAATTACTTGACCTTGGCGACCTATGACCTTGGTAACCTATGACCTTGTGACCTATGACCTTGGTGACCTATGACCTTGTGACCTATGACCTTGGTAACCTATAGTGACAACAAGTGCTGGCCTGTAATCAGGCTGATGGTATCTTTGATTGGGACATGACTTGTAATAACAATCACTGGTTTGTCTGGTCCAGACTTGGGTATATACATACCCTCCACTTCCTGGCACATTCCTGCATGACCATGGTACAGGAATCTGTTTTGGAACGTTGCACTCGTGAAAGTTGCTGTCCATAAAGTTTGTCTGTATTGTGTCCCATTTCAATTGTCCAGAATGCAAGGTGTCTGGATTGATAGGGTTTTACTGTATATGCGTTGCCGTCATGAGATGTATGACTGATTGTGTTCCAGAGCCGTGTCTGAACGTGCGGCTGGCAGACATTGTGGGTGGTCGATACAAGAACGCAACCTACACCAAGTACGAGGGACATGGAGAGAAGGCCAAGGGGGAATGGGTCAGAGAAGGTCAGTGCCAATCTTCAAAACATTGGGTTTCCGAGACATCCTCCATCAGTATTTTGTCTAGTGACCAAACTGTGCACTCTCCTACCCAGAGTTCCATGCGGCAAGCCAGCATAGTACCTCTGTCACAGGCCAGAAAGATGTGACGAATTGTCACATCTTACACAGTCCATTCAATATGATGTACTTATTTCTTAACTCTTCTATTTTTGACGAGTCTACGCATCTAAGTAAACATCTTTGATAGAATGGTTTAGTTTCACTGAGAAAATATCCTAAAACATGTAACACTATTTCGATTTGCGTAGCGATCCTTTGTTTACATAAGTTTTGCGGCTCCACGTGCTGTCATCGAAGCCGACGGAGAGCAAACGATGCAGCAAGTTTGATATCTAAATATATCTTGTCATAAACCTTACTGCTGCAGTTGTGGAAGAATATGTATGTAACAATGTAAAACATTGTGAAGAGCACACCGAAAAGCTTGCGTAAGCCCAGTCTCTTCTTCTTATGAATATGCATGTTTGTTTACAAACAAGAGAAAAGTCCGGTCATGTGATACGCAAATTAGCCTGTGGCAGTGATGTTATGCTAAGTCCTTGCTGCGCCGCCGGAGTGTGCAAACTGTGTAGAATATTAGAGTGTGGTGTTAAAACAGGATTCCCAAAGATTCATCCATCACTTTAGCAGTAAGAGGCCAAGCCTGCGTGTATTACGGCTGGCTGTTGATACAGACCATAGAGAATGATAATCATAAACTAGATATCAACTGATTATTGATAAATATCGGCGACGTAACTTTGAGCAAAAATGCCAAAAATGTCTGAATATTTTTCACATCACTGGTGAGTGGCGACATGTTTTTTGCATAGATTATTAACAAAATTATTCAGCGCCTTGAACATAATTTAATAACAGACATGAATAAGGTCCTTATATTGCATATCGTCTGAGAAAATTAAACTTTTTTCTGTCACAAAAGTTGATCTATAATATTATTGATAGCACTATTTTCATATCTATAATCAATAATAATTTTTCCTATCGACGATATATCTGATTATCGATCATTTTAGCCAGCCCTACCATGCAGAGTTGTGTAACTTAGATCAGCAAGAATCCAATGATGTTTCAGCCGAGAGGCAACCTTCTCTCAACACTTTGGGCTTTCCTTCATATAACAGGAATATTATTAAAAGTCACCACACACTCTGCTAGTCGAGGAAGCGTTTTGGCACGGCATTATCAGGCCTGGTACAACCTTAACAAATGTATGTGACATGTGTTCAAAAACCTACACTAAATTTAACTGATTTGAAATCTTTTTCATATTTCTATTTAGAAATATTTAGTGAAAAGCCAGCATACTGAATATACAGACTGTCTTTGTCGTATGTGCTGTTTGAAAGTAATTTGATTGGGATGACAATGCTAAAGTCCGTAGTAAATGTTTGAAAAAGAATATTTCCATTTTTGATGAAAAAAAGTGTTTGAGGCGTTTATCAATTTTTGCTTGTATCACATCTTACTCAGTTCAGATAGAAATTTGGCATGCCTTTGCATGTGTTTATGACGTGACATTTGTGGGGATATGCTCAACCTTTGCAAACAGCTGGTATCATGGCTGTTTGTAGTGAGTCTTTACTGCTTCTGACATTTGTTCCCAACACCCAGAATTAACTATACATTTTTGATTATTTTGCAGTTCGGTACTCTCATTATCTAGAATGTTTTATTAGCTGTGCAACTACCACCTTGAACGCAGTTGTGATTGGCTGGATGGAAAAACATACATCTGTCAATCAAAACATTGAAATGATAAGGTGAGTTGTGATTGGCTGGATGGAAAAACATACATCTGTCAATCAAAGCATTGAAATGATAAGGTGGGTTGTGATTGGCTGGATGGAAAAACATACATCTGTCAATCAAATAGACCAATAGGATCGGGTAGTCAGGCAAATAGACCAATAGGACTTGCTGTCGACATAGGTCATCACATCCCAAGTGTGTAGATTGATGATCATGCTGTTGATCACAGGATTGTCTGGTCAAGACTTATTGCCATAGCTGCAAAATTGCAAAGTGGTGCGCGGTGGGCGAGCTGGCTAAGACGCCAGGCTAGTGATCCAGCGAGGTTGAGGTGCCGGGATCGAGCCCACCTGTGACCAGGTGTAAAAACCTTGGAGTCAACTTTGTGTGCAGACTCTTTCAGTGTTGTCACAACCCCTAGTGTACAGTACACAACCCTGTGCACTTAAAAGAACCCACGAATCCGTTGGTAGATGACCAGATGGTGGCCACATGAATACGTGCAAACACTTAGGTGCGGGTACAGCAACGTGCAGTGAACTTGGACAAAGTATTGTGACTATGTGTCCCAGTCCACCCAGCTGTGAATGGGTACCTCGTTAGGATGAGAAAGCCACAATAACTTGGTGCGCCTGGTGGCTGCAAGAGTTGTATACTCCCCAGGGAGTTGAGATTGATAATGCGATGTGCCGTTGAGGTTGACATCCAATGATTGAGGGGAAAATACCAGCGCCTTGAGCATGCACTAGTTGCCTGGATATGTGCGCTATATAAATATCCTATAATAATAATAATAATAATAATAAAAAGTGCAGTGTTAGATAACAAACAAATCATGCTATCACTTGCCGGATTGTCTGGTCCAGACATAATTATTTACAGACCACTGTCATATAGCTGGAAAGTTGCTGATTGTGGCATTAAACAACAAACCAACCAACCAACCTGTGTATGAAAGCTACTGATGTCTGTTTCAGGGATGCTCAACCAGTAAAGAAAGAGATTCAGAGGCAGTAAGTCAGTCGAATTCATCTTCATCACAAGTACTCATGGAAAACACTGCTTCATTTTCAAAATTCAACCAGACCTGTTTTCTGTTTGATTTTACAAATATGACTAACAAGAAGAATTAAAAATGCTTTTTTCGACAGAATTTTGAAAATCCTTTTTAAAGATTGGTTTGGGTCTGTAATTGATTTGAAAAATGAACATCTTGGACTTTTTGGGGGTCTTTTGACAAATTGATGATATCTGAACAAAGCTTCTCGTTGTCATTGCTGTTGTCAAAGCGACCTGCCATTGGCTGGTTATATCACCATGTCATTCATATTTTGATCTAGGTTTCATATTTAGATAAAATATGAATTTGTTTGCGCCAACCTATACAACAAACAGATCAATGCTTCAGCATATCAGGGGTTCAAAAATCCCATCGCCCGACGCCCGGGACAAGTCAGTTTTCATTTCGGGCAATCAAATAATGGTATCTTACTTGTCCGTGGGCTACTAGATAATTTACACTTATGGTTTCAAACTGCAAATAAACTTTCATATAATTTCATATCTGCTCAAAATGTAGCTATTAAATTTCGCAATGATAATACTTTTCAATAAATAGTCCAGTAAACATTAACATCAAATACCATGTTGATTTATTCTTTCATAATTACATCATCATGATTGTGTCATAAAATCAGGGCAAGTGGAAACTTAGTCAGGACAAGTTGCTTTCTTAAAGTCACTTGCCCTGTGGCAAGTGGCTTTTTAAAAAAAAATCGAACCCCTGCATATCTTTGTGTTTCTAAATTTTTTAGAAATCTGATGCTGTCTTTTTTTCAGATCTGACTTCACTATATCTCAGGGCGTCAACTCATTTGACTACTATGATCGTCTTAATCTCATAGGTAGGTAAATGTAAGGCTGGACTCAGTCCGTTATCTCTGAAAACCTTGGCGCCGTTGGGTGTTCTACGCCATCTTGTGAGGTTATGTGAATGCAGAGTATCTGTAGTTATTAACATTTCTTATTAATTTGGGGGAGTTGTGTTTATAGTCTGAGGTATTTCTTGAAATAATCATTCAAAAAAGAATAGAAGAAATGTTCAAGGTACAAATGAAGTGAATGTATGCTTCCAAAGTGTCATAACTTTAAAATGATAGAGTTTCATAAGGGTGATGTTCTCACTGTGTCTGTCATTAATGTGTACTTCTTCAGTGAAGATCCGATGGTCGTCAGTACCCCATGCTTGTCGCGAGAGGCGACTAACAAGATCAGGTGGTCAAGCTCGCTGACTTGGTTGACACATGTCTTCGTATCCCAGTTGAGTAGATCGAAGCTCATGCTGTTGATCACTGGATTGTCTGGTCCAGACTCGATTGTTTACATACCTCCGCCATAAAGTGTAATATTGCTGAGTGCGGCGTTAAACACCAAACCAACCAATCAACTGTGTGTGTTTCATCCATATGTATTCCATCAGTGTCTTGTGTCATGAATGTGTGTTCTTGTGTGTCTGTGTCATCAGTGTGTGTTATTGGTGTACGTCTCATCAACATGTGTTGATCCATCTCTGTGTTTCAGCTACTGCGGGCGTCAACAACCACGTGTGTCTGTGGAACCCCTACGTTGTGTCCAAGCCGAGTGGGGTAGGTGCTCCATGGTTTAGTGACGGTAACAGGATCCTTCACTATGATCTCTAGTACTCAGGCCTACCCAGAGCTCCAGATAAAGATTTAGCTCATGTGGGTACTGTACCCACTGTAATTATTTGGAGTGGGTATTATGAATGTTGAGTGGGTATTTCATTTTCCGTTACCCACTGCTTTCAAATATGTGCGTATTTCAGTCATATTACTCACCTAAGTATTATGTCATTGAGTAAGTTTACTAAGCAGGTATGTTCTGCCTTATGTTATACCTAATCAAACCAAAGTTAAATATAATGGAAATGATTTCATAAAAAATCACTGATCCTATACTGACAGTACAACACTGGTCCTATACTAACAGTACAACTTGACAGCAATCGATGATTTTTTCATTACGCAAGCGATTTTTATAAATATATTCCGTACACATTTGTTTTAAACTTTTTGCGTATCTAACATTTTAAATGCGTAATTGGTATGCCACAATTATTTTTCAATGTGTAATTGGAAATATTCTATGCGTATTTTATCGGATACGCAGCTTATCTTGGCCTCTGGGCCTACCAAAGAAAACCTTCTAATCGAAAAGGGGCCTATAGGTAATGATCCTTGGTCTCACAGAACATATGGATCATCGGTCACCATGCTTGTCATACGAGGCGACAAACGGGATCAGGTAGTCACCCTACATGACCAGGATTACCACAGAAAACTTTCCCACTGTGCAGAAAAACGCAGAAAACTCCACAGTAATCGTGGAAATAGCAGCATAAAGATATTACCTTGCTAATGAAACAGTAAAACGGCAACGAAAGACTCTAAAACTGCAACAATTTTATATCAGCGAACTTTTACCTCTACTGCACATGCGTATTACATGCCGCGCTTGTTTCAAATTTCCAAGCAACCATGAATCGCCTCACGTAGAAAAAGTATTGAACATGTCGAAATAATTACTCTCAGTCATTTCATATGAATGGAAAGTAAACAAAACAAGTGTGCACTCAAGTATGATAATATATGCCAAATAACACAACAGAAATACTTAAAAAGGGAATGTAACTTTTGTCCAAGCTGGAAAATGTCAACATGCAGTCGGGACTTCCTCTTTGAAGTTGTTTTTTAATCCAGTTTTAGCGATTTAAAGTTGCCGTTGTTACTGTTTCAGTAGTGAGGTATTATGTTTATGTTGCTAGTTCCATAATTAAGGTGGAGTATTCAGTGTTTTTCTACACAGTGAGAAAGTTTTCTTTGGTAGGTCTTTTATAGGTGACATAAGGAAAGTTGTTTCAAATCCCTATTCTGATGGTGTTACTAGTAAGGTGACCATAATCGGAAGGTAAACTTACGCTGAAAGGGTCGTTGTCGGCACGGGTACTACAGATGTGTACCCCGGGTACGTTTCTGTATACAGAAACGTACCCTGGCCATAATCAGAACACAGAAAAGTACCCTAGGACGATTCCATTCTGCATTGTGGAGTTTTCTTGATCGGAACTGTCATACTGTTGTATTAGATGCATTTGATTGCGTTATATAAGAGCATACACAGTATAACGAATATTTCACGGTGCACAACGTACACCACTCGCAATCAGCTGAACGGGAACAACTATAGTTTGGCATGAAATGCATGTGGACCCGGTTTTTTGTAAATATCTCTTCATCCAATAACCCAATCGATCTCAAACTGTGCAAGTGGATGTTTTGTCAGACAACCTAATCACATTGTAAATCACCGATTTTATGCATTTGTATTAAAGAATCTGTCTATGTAACTGTCAACAAAATAAACAGCAGAAAACGCAGAAGGCTTGCAAAGGGAGGGAGCCATTGACCTGTAACAGCGGCAGTGTTGGGTCATAAAGGTCAACGTTCGTCAATGTAGGTCAGCTATGCTGATGACCCTGATGTCAAAAGAATCTAACTTTGGATGCACCTTTTTGTACAAGGTTTTGTTTATTGGTTGTTGGTTTATTTTTCACAATTGTTAGCACGATGTTCTTTTTCATGCCAAGAGCAAAAGTTGTACGTTTCATGTAATCTGACACCTTATAAATCGGTTTGCTACGTTTGCTCTCTTTTTAAAAAAAATTCAACACATTGCTAGTTAAACGTTAAGCATCATCTGAATAAGCTTTCATGATGACAGCTAGAAGTAGTCAATGTGAATGATCCAAACGGTCTATCACTGTGCAGTGCACAGGTAACTATCATGAACTGCACGTGCATTTACCTTTATGACCCAACACTACCGCTGTTACAGGTCATTGGCTCCCTCCCTCTGCAAGCCTTCTGCGTTCTGCTGTTTATTTTGTTGACAGTTACATAGACAGTTTCTTTAATACAAATGCATAAAATCGGTGATTTACAATGTGATTAGGTTGTCTGACAAAACATCCACTTGCACAGTTTGAGATCGATTGGGTCATTGGATGAAGAGATATTTACAAAAAACCGGGTCCACATGCATTTCATGCCAAACTATACATACGGTTTCGGTATTGGGTCTCGGAATATGGACTCGTCCGTCGGGTACCGGATACGTTTCTGTAGTTTGACTTTGTTTAGGGTACATGTCTGTATACAGAAACGTACCTGGGGTACATATCTGTAGTACCTGTGCCGACAACGACCCCTTCAGCTAAACTTACCTTTAATTGCTGATGAAGATATCCCAAAGTAAGTCCGGCCTGGTACTGCATTGTATTACCCACGAGGTCAACGTATGGGTAGTTGCATACTAATCTCAGTGTCACACGAGTGTCGTATAGCGTTGACCTGTGTCATAACGACTTGACCTGAGATTCTAACGATTTGATTGGATAACCGATGACCTCTCAATTAGGTCACATTCTGACGTAACTATTTTTTCATTCATAACAAACACGTGAATTCATTCAATCTACAACTTAAATGCATTGTGGGAATGTAAACATCGCTGTGAGTCGAACTGAGACATTATATCCGTCGAAAAACATAAACGCAATGTTTCCACCAGTGATGTTAACCGAGTGAAGCAACTGCAAACCAAGAAACGGGGGTGCTACGGAGTAGTTTACTGTAGGAGGCTGTACAAGGCGATGACAACTGACATGCATCGTGACGTCGGTTACCAAGGCAGTGACGTCAATACAGTGTGACGTCATGCAAATATTGCACTACAGTACAAACTCTTCCGCAACCTCTTTATGAAACCGGTTTCAGTTTGAAACCAAAATATTAACAAAAAATATGCTATTTTGTCAATTTAATGCTCGTTTCGTATAATTCGTATGTAATGAGACCGAGTGTAGTATTCTCTATACCTGTCCACTCACTGAAGCCACTGACTCCTCCTCCCGACGTGCAGGTGCTGCGAGGTCACATGGCCAGCGTGGTGCAGGTTCAGTTCATCACCAGCAGGGGGCAGCTCATCAGTTTCTCCAAGGACAAGGTGCTGCGTGTGTGGGACGTCCAGCTGCAAGTCTGCATACAGCGGCTGGCCGGCATGTTCCCCAAGGGACCTGAAGGTGAGACACAGGTGTTTGTGTGCAACGGGTTGATTGCTGGTTCATAAAGAGCCTGAGTGAGACACAGTTTAACACAGCGAAGGTGTTCCTGGTTTTCTTGGACCAACTTACCTGAACAATGATATTAGGAAGTCCTAACGCACCAGCCTGTGAAGATTCCAGTCTTCAGCAACCATTCTTGTCATAACAGGATCCAACTTGCTGACTTTGTTGTAGTGTTGGGAATTGGTTAAAATCTCATAATTGATGATTGGTTCATTACCACCGATCAACCATCGAAAATAATTGGTTAGCGTCATTTTTGAAATTTGTTAATGCCCAAAAAATAAGCAAAAAAACATGTAGTTATTTTGTTGGTTTATTTTGCAGAATTTCACATCTTTAAAGGATGACTAGTATGTTAGGAACATAAATTTCTTGGAATCTTTAAGATGAATTCAATCATGACTTGGAACGCTTGTAGTGCTTATGAAATGTAACAGACAAAACCAACCTTGTGAAAAATATTGTTGATGAAAACAAGTGTTCCTGAATTGTTTGTGTTCGATTATGAGAAAACATGATCGATTGCTTGGTCGTTAAGTCACTGCGACCAATCTTCGATTATTTCAATTAATCGGAACACCACTACTTTGTTGACACATGTCATCGTATTCCAGTTGCGTTGATCAATGCTCATGCTGTTGATGACTGGAATGTTTCTAAAGACTTTATTATTTACAGACCAAAGCGTCTAGAATATTGCTGAGTGAATTTTCACACTCAACTCCCTGGGGAGGGTAGAGAAATATTTATATTTATGCAGGAAGGGAGATAATTAGAAAGTCACAGTCTGAAGTCACAGAAAAAGTTTGCCAAGGAATAAAAGAAACCATTTAAAAGTTCCAAGAATCATTTAGATTCCAACCTTGCTTTTGCTTCCAGTTCAGAGTACTCTGTTCTTTGACGAGGGCAAGGACCGCAACGGAAATGACCGAAACCGTCTGTTCATCACCTTCAACTACCAGCTGACTGCCATGGACATGAAGGTGGAGATCAGAGATCGCATCATGTCGCATGAGAAGCCTGTCGTAGCTGCACTGTACAACAACACGTACAACCAGGTGAGTGTGCCCTTGACTTGAGAAGTCTGTCGTAGCTACGCTGTACAATAACACGTACAACCAGGTGAGTGTGTCCTTGACTTGAGAAGTCTGTGGTAGCTACGCTGTACAATAACACGTACAACCAGGTGAGTGTGTGCTTGACTTGAGAAGTCTGTCGTAGCTGCGCTGTACAACAACATGTACAACCAGGTGAGTGTGTGTCCTTGACTTGAGAAGTCTGTGGTAGCTACGCTGTACAATAACACGTACAACCAGGTGAGTGTGTGTCCTTGACTTGAGAAGTCTGTGGTAGCTACGCTGTACAACAACACGTACAACCAGGTGAGTGTGTCCTTGACTTGAGAAGTCTGTGGTAGCTACGCTGTACAACAACACGTACAACCAGGTGAGTGTGTGCTTGACTTGAGAAGTCTGTGGTAGCTACGCTGTACAACAACACGTACAACCAGGTGAGTGTGTGCTTGACTTGAGAAGTCTGTCGTAGCTACGCTGTACAACAACACGTACAACCAGGTGAGTGTGTGCTTGACTTGAGAAGTCTGTCGTAGCTGCGCTGTACAATAGTACATACAACCAGGTGAGTGTGCCCTTGACTTGAGAAACCTGTCGTAGCTACGCTGTTCAACAACACATACAACCAGGTGAGTGTGTGCTTGACTTGAGAAGTCTGTGGTAGCTGGCGGCTGTACAACAACACGCACAACCAGGTGAATGTGTGCTTGACTTGAGAAGTCTGTCGTAGCTGTGCTGTACAACAACACATACAACCAGGTGAGTGTGTGCTTGACTTGAGAAGTCTGTCGTAGCTACGCTGTACAACAACACGTACAACCAGGTGAGTGTGTGCTTGACTTGAGAAGTCTGTCGTAGCTACGCTGTACAAAAAGTACATACAACCAGGTGAGTGTGCCCTTGACTTAAAAGCCTGTCGAAGCTATCGGCTGTTCAACAACACATACAACCAGGTGAGTGTGTGCTTGACTTGAGAAGTCTGTGGTAGCTTCGGCTGTACAACAACACGTTACAACCAGGTGAGTGTGTGCTTGACTTGAGAAGTCTGTCGTAGCTACGCTGTACAATAGTACATACAACCAGGTGAGTGTGCCCTTGACTTGAGAAGCCTGTCGTAGCTACGCTGTTCAACAACACATACAACCAGGTGAGTGTGTGCTTGACTTGAGAAGTCTGTCATAGCTACGCTGTACAACACGTACAACCAGGTGAATGTGTGCTTGACTTGAGAAGTCTGTCGTAGCTGTGCTGTACAACAACACATACAACCAGGTGAGTGTGTGCTTGACTTGAGAAGTCTGTCGTAGCTACGCTGTACAACAACACGCATACAACCAGGTGAGTGTGTGCTTGACTTGAGAAGTCTGTCGTAGCTACGGCTGTACAATAGTACATACAACCAGGTGAGTGTGCCCTTGACTTAAAAGCCTGTCAGAAGCTACGCTGTTCAACAACACACATACAACCAGGTGAGTGTGTGCTTGACTTGAGAAGTCTGTGGTAGCTACGGCTGTACAACAACACGCATACAACCAGGTGAGTGTGTGCTTGACTTGAGAAGTCTGTGGTAGCTCGGCTGTACAACAACACGTACAACCAGGTGAGTGTGTGCTTGACTTGAGAAGTCTGTCGTAGCTACGCTGTACAATAGTACATACAACCAGGTGAGTGTGCCCTTGACTTGAGAAGCCTGTCGTAGCTACGCTGTTCAACAACACATACAACCAGGTGAGTGTGTGCTTGACTTGAGAAGTCTGTCATAGCTACGCTGTACAACACGTACAACCAGGTGAATGTGTGCTTGACTTGAGAAGTCTGTCGTAGCTGTGCTGTACAACAACACATACAACCAGGTGAGTGTGTGCTTGACTTGAGAAGTCTGTCGTAGCTACGCTGTACAACAACACGTACAACCAGGTGAGTGTGTGTGCTTGACTTGAGAAGTCTGTCAGTAGCTACGCTGTACAATAGTACATACAACCAGGTGAGTGTGCCCTTGACTTAAAAAGCCTGTCGTAGCTACGCTGTTCAACAACACATACAACCAGGTGAGTGTGTGCTTGACTTGAGAAGTCTGTCATAGCTACGCTGTACAACACGTACAACCAGGTGAATGTGTGCTTGACTTGAGAAGTCTGTCGTAGCTGTGCTGTACAACAACACATACAACCAGGTGAGTGTGTGCTTGACTTGAGAAGTCTGTCGTAGCTACGCTGTACAACAACACTTACAACCAGGTGAGTGTGTGCTTGACTTGAGAAGTCTGTCGTAGCTACGCTGTACAATAGTACATACAACCAGGTGAGTGTGCCCTTGACTTAAAAAGCCTGTCGTAGCTACGCTGTTCAACAACACATACAACCAGGTGAGTGTGTGCTTGACTTGAGAAGTCTGTGGTAGCTGCGCTGTACAACACGTACAACCAGGTGAATGTGTGCTTGACTTGAGAAGTCTGTCGTAGCTGTGCTGTACAACAACACATACAACCAGGTGAGTGTGTGCTTGACTTGAGAAGTCTGTCGTAGCTACGCTGTACAACAACACGTACAACCAGGTGAGTGTGTGCTTGACTTGAGAAGTCTGTGGTAGCTACGCTGTACAATAGTACATACAACCAGGTGAGTGTGCCCTTGACTTAAAAAGCCTGTCGTAGCTACGTTGTTCAACAACACATACAACCAGGTGAGTGTGTGCTTGACTTGAGAAGTCTGTGGTAGCTACGCTGTACAACAACACGTACAACCAGGTGAGTGTGTGCTTGACTTGAGAAGTCTGTCGTAGCTACGCTGTACAATAGTACATACAACCAGGTGAGTGTGCCCTTGACTTGAGAAGCCTGTCGTAGCTACGCTGTTCAACAACACATACAACCAGGTGAGTGTGTGCTTGACTTGAGAAGTCTGTCATAGCTACGCTGTACAACACGTACAACCAGGTGAATGTGTGCTTGACTTGAGAAGTCTGTCGTAGCTGTGCTGTACAACAACACATACAACCAGGTGAGTGTGTGCTTGACTTGAGAAGTCTGTCGTAGCTACGCTGTACAACAACACGTACAACCAGGTGAATGTGTGCTTGACTTGAGAAGTCTGTCGTAGCTACGCTGTACAATAGTACATACAACCAGGTGAGTGTGCCCTTGACTTAAAAAGCCTGTCGTAGCTACGCTGTTCAACAACACATACAACCAGGTGAGTGTGTGCTTGACTTGAGAAGTCTGTCATAGCTACGCTGTACAACACGTACAACCAGGTGAATGTGTGCTTGACTTGAGAAGTCTGTCGTAGCTGCGCTGTACATAAACACATACAACCAGGTGAGTGTGTGCTTGACTTGAGAAGTCTGTTGTAGCTACGCTGTACAACACATACAACCAGGTGAATGTGTGCTTGACTTGAGAAGTCTGTCGTAGCTGCGCTGTACATAAACACGTACAACCAAGAAGACTGTCGTAGCTGCGCTGTATAACAACATGCACAACCAGGTGAGTATGCCCTTTACTAGAGAAGTGTGTCGTAGCTTCACGCTGGGAACTTGCCATAGTCATACATCCGCTCATTCCCTCAGTTACTCAGATTTGTTTGAGAATTCTCAATCTCTCAAAATCTCACTCACTCACTCACTCGTTGTTCCAGGTTGTCAGTGTGTGCCAGGCAGGGAGCATCATCGTGTGGCTGATTGACACAGGTCAGAAGGTCAAGCAGTTCAACAGTTCCCATGGCAACTCGGAGGTGACATGCATCACTCAGGACCCGAGTGAGACTCGGCTGTACACCGGCAGCACGGACGGCACCGTTAAGGTAGACACCATATAGGCATTGGGCGGTTGTCATGTGGGAAAAGCTTCATAACGTCACAGGTAGTGGGGGTAACGGCCCATGTGTTGAAAGATTTTGCTCATCACATTGAAGGCATGGGTTTTATTCCTAAAATGGTAATGAGGATGATGACAATGGCAATTAGGAGGAGGAGGTGGATGGTGGTGGTGATGTGTCTGTGGGTGTGGGACGTCAATGATGATGATGATGATGATGTGTCTGTAGGTGTGGGACTTCAATGATGATGATGATGTGTCTGTAGGTGTGGGACTTCAGTGATGATGATGATGATGTGTCTGTAGGTGTGGGACTTCAATGATGATGATGATGATGTTGTGTCTGTAGGTGTGGGACTTCAATGATGATGATGATGTGTCTGTAGGTGTGGGACTTCAATGATGATGATGATGTGTCTGTAGGTGTGGGACTTTCATGATGATGATGATGATGTGTCTGTAGGTGTGGGACTTCAATGATGATGATGATGATGTTGTGTCTGTAGGTGTGGGACTTCAATGATGATGATGATGATGTGTCTGTAGGTGTGGGACTTCAATGATGATGATGATGTGTCTGTAGGTGTGGGACTTCAATGATGATGATGATGTGTCTGTAGGTGTGGGACTTCAATGATGATGATGATGATGTTGTGTCTGTAGGTGTGGGACTCAATCAATGATGATGATGATGTGTCTGTAGGTGTGGGACTTCAATGATGATGATGATGTGTCTGTAGGTGTGGGACTTCAATGATGATGATGATGTGTCTGTAGGTGTGGGACTTCAATGATGATGATGATGATGTTGTGTCTGTAGGTGTGGGACTTCAATGATGATGATGATGATGTGTCTGTAGGTGTGGGACTTCAATGATGATGATGATGATGTGTCTGTAGGTGTGGGACTTCAATGATGATGATGATGTGTCTGTAGGTGTGGGACTTCAATGATGATGATGATGATGTGTCTGTAGGTGTGGGACTTCAATGATGATGATGATGATGTGTCTGTAGGTGTGGGACTTCAATGATGATGATGATGATGTGTCTGTAGGTGTGGGACTTCAATGATGATGATGATGATGTGTCTGTAGGTGTGGGACTTCAATGATGATGATGATGATGTGTCTGTAGGTGTGGGACTTCGATGATGATGATGATGATGTGTCTGTAGGTGTGGGACTTCAATGATGATGATGATGTGTCTGTAGGTGTGGGACGTCGATGATGATGATGATGATGTGTCTGTAGGTGTGGGACTTCAGTGATGATGATGATGTGTCTGTAGGTGTGGGACTTCAATGATGATGATGATGTGTCTGTAGGTGTGGGACGTCGATGATGATGATGATGATGTGTCTGTAGGTGTGGGACTTCAGTGATGATGATGATGTGTCTGTAGGTGTGGGACGTCGATGATGATGATGATGATGTGTCTGTAGGTGTGGGACTTCAATGGCCACTGTTACCACAGCCTGGAGTGTTCTGGAGGACAGCCTGCAGATGTTGGTCAGATCCTCGTCCTGAAGAGATCCGTGCTGGTGTTGGGCTGGGCCAAGTGAGTCCTGTTTCTCACACAGTGTTTTGGCACTGCAACTTGCTATTTGTCATATAGTCACATACTATATGCACACTGCCTGCAATTTCACATTTGTCAGACCTTTCAATGCAAGGATTCACATTAAGAAGCCATACATCTGAAGATCTGTTTTCCCGCGTGAGTGGGCATCTCGTCTGAACCACCTGAGGGAAGTTGACCTGTATCATAAACTGTAACTATGTAATGTGTATGACTGTTGGCTTGTTCATAAGTTGTGTGCTATGACTTTTTCTGTTTGTAAATAATAATGTAATGAATAAATATGTATTTTAAGAAACTCATTTAAGCCTCGTACTTAAAAATTGTATGTTTGCTAATCTTGGTCTCGTCACTGTATGACAAAATGCCAATGTGGCATAAAATCCAACTCAGCTGAACTCAAACATTTGTCATATAGTCCAAAATTCTTCACAGAAGCACCTGCTCAACCCCTATTTACATGGCCACCCGAAATTCAGAAAATAAGTTTTGCACATTTTAAACATTAATCAACCTGAAATACACAATGCCATTTTAGAAAGTGGTCAAATGTAACATATGTTATATTTGGGATTACACTTTCTTAGTAAAGTACAGATTCTAGTACTGTTTGGGTTGAGTCCCATCCGGGATTCAAACTCACACCCTCAGAGTCAGGCACCTAATCGCCAGCACACAAAGTCAGCCGCCTAGACCGCTCAGCCACCGCATCTTCCACAAAAATGGAAGTCGGACAACTGGTAGTCTAGACTGCGGACTTTGTGTACCCATCTGATGAGTGTTCATTGGCACGGCTCCCACGGCCGTAAGCTATGAAATACACAATGCCATTTTAGAAAGTGGTCAAATGTAACATGTTACTCAGCCCCAAAAGTACTAGAATCTATAATTTACTAAGAAAGTGTAATCCCAAATATAACTTATGTTACATTGATCAACCTACGTCTACTAGGGGCGCGCTGGGCGAGCTGGCTAAGGTGCCAGGCTAGTGATCAGGCGAGGTTGAGGTGTCAGGATCGAGCCCACCTGTGACCGGGTGTAAAAAACCTCGGAGTCAACTTTGTGTGCAGACACTTTCAGTGTTGTCACAACCCCTGGTGTACAGTACACAACCCTGTGCACTTAAAAGAACCCACGAATCCGTTGGTATTTGACCAGATGGTGGCCACATGAATACGTGCAAACACCTAGCAACGTGCAGTGAACATGGACAAAGTACTGTGACTATGTGTCCCAGTCCACCAAGCTGTGAATGGGTACCTTGTTAAGATGAGAAAGCCACAACAACTCGGTGCGCCTAGTGGCTGCAAGAGTTGTATACTCCCCAGGGAGTTGAGATGTGCTGTTGAGATTGACATCCAATGATCGAGGATAAAAATACCAGCGCCTTGAGCATGCACTAGTACGTGGATATGTGCGCTATATAAATATCCTATAATTAAAAATACAAAATACTAACTTTATAGTAAATCATTGCAGAAGTACTAACATTTTCCCGGTAATGTTTTTCATGTGCCTGGAGATATTTTCTTTACATTTGTTGTCTTGTTCCAGATTTGTGACTGTTTTCCGTAACAGCAGTTTCCGTGACTACCATGTGCAGCCGTCAGACTGGAAGGGGGGTCAGGTGAGAGAGTTGATGGTTGACAGTTGACAGTTGACAAGAAATAGCTCAGTAAATTGATCAGTAAGTGAATAAATCAGTCGGTGAATATATCAGTCAGTGAAAAGATCAGGCAAGGAAAGGTATGTCACTGAAAAGATCAGTCAATGAAAACATCAGCGAATAAATAAGTCCGTGAATAGTTCTCTCAATGAATCTCTCAATGAATTCATTGAATCTGTCAATGAATCTCGTATGGTGTATCACTACCTTGTCCTCTTCCTGTTCAGGAGCATGTGGAGGACATCCTGTGTGGATCCTTCCAGAGCCCCAACGTCCTGGCAACTGGCTCATACGATGGGGAGGTGGTCATATGGAACACCAACTCTGAGCAGGCGTCGCGCCACCTCAACCAGCGGGCACGCAAGAAGAACCTCACCCGGGGCAAGTCCATGATGCTCAAGGACAAGGAGGTCAGTGTGAGAGTGGTGTCATAGAGCTTAGGGCCTAGATTTTCGAAGCTCTCTTAGCGCTTAGATAGTCGTAAGTGCCATACATTAACATTAACTTACGACTATCTTAGAGCTAAGAGAGCTTAGAAAATCTAGGCCCAGGTCACAAATCAGTTGGAGTTAAGCAAAGTTGCCCGCAGAGAGTCCTTGGGTGGGTGACCATGTTTGTCAGTTTGACTCCTGAGAGTTTCTATCACTTCAGTACTGCCCCACAACGAAGTACATATAGACCATTTCGTCTCACCTTAGGCAAGTGAGTTTGCTCTTAATTGCCTCTGTTCACCCAGCAGAATATGGGTACCTGGTGGGATAAGTCATGTAACTATTAACCTTTGAGCCTCACAGGCAGGTTGGGTTATCCGGGGTAATGATTTCAGCATGTGCCTTGTACAAGGAAGAGGTATATCATTAGTGGTAGTATCGTTACATGGAGGTCAGCTACAGCTACTAAACACTGGGTCCGTGTCGGGTGTGACTGTGTCAGTGTTAAACTGTGACATGATGTTTCAGTGGGCAAACACTTTGAAAGCTGCAGAATTCAAGCCTAGTTTGGTTGTGTGTTGTTTCAAGCCTCACTCAGCAATATTCTTTGTATAAGGTGGCTGTGAGTAAATAATTGAGTCTGGACCAGACAATGCAATGATCAACAGCATGAGCATCGATCTACACAACTTGGATACAATGACATGGCCACCCGATCCCGTGAGCTCAATCTGATGACAAGCATGGGTTGCAGCAAGATCAATTCTAACTCAAATCTTCCTGGGTCTCTCTTGATTGTCCAGATTCTATTATTTACAGGGGCGGTGGGGTAGCCTAGTGGTTAAAGCGTTGGCTCGTCACGCCGAAGATCCGGGTTCGTATCCCCACATGGGCACATTGTGTGAAGCCCATTTCTGTTGTCCCCCGCTGTGATATTGCTGGAATATTGCTAAAAGCGGCGTAAAACCATACTCACTCACTCACTCACTCACTCACTCACTATTTTTTACACTGACTATTACTGAGTTCAGAGTTAATCAACAAAGATATCAGATATTTAGTACAAACAGCCACACATGCGTGCACATTGCTGTGTGAGTGAGTGAGTGAGTTGATGTGACATTCAGCAGCATTTGACCTCATTATTTCAGCCTAGTCAGCTGGCTCCAGTTGCTGAGCACTCTGACGGCAAGTCCACCGTCGGCTCCATCATGTCAACCGAGGTCAGACCCAAGTCCCGCGCGCTGTCTCGGGTCAGTCAGGGCAGCAGTGACCAGGTAACCCCAACAGTTGTAGAAATATCCGTCTTTTTGTTTGTTGGTTTGTCGATCACGAGACTTGTAACGCTAAAAATGGCATCAAGGTGTATAATTGTCACTTATGGGATGGGGGGTGTTGGGGGGGACTTGGCACTAAACAAAAGGGATATGGTTATCTGATATTCGACCGGCAGTTAAATGATGACTGACTAAGGCCCTTGTTATAGTGTAAAATGGCACGTGGATTGTCAGGGGTCAATTTCACTACTTACAAACTGCACCAGTGCAGGTGAAAATTGCTGAGTGCAGCCAATTTTGTATTTCAGGTAGCACCCAGTGCAGGTTACTTTTTTCTGATGAAAAAAGGCTTTGTCATAAATCCCTTTTAGAACGTGAAAAAAGCATCGTCGATTCGATCACTTACTGTTACTTGCGTTTCAACCAGAACGAGTTATTTATCGGTCACAGTACAAATTGTAAAGAGAACCAATCCGGTTTCAGTTGCGATCCAGTTTGTCAAGCTAAACAGAAAACTTAGAAAGGCCCTCGAACCTGGTTGAAATATTCGTTTTGAATAATTAAACTCTAGATCTTCCGGAAATATAAAGGTCAGCCAATCAGAGTACGAAACGTAAAAGTTCGTCTTCAATATTTACTTCATATGATTTGTTTTTGGTTAATTTTACAAGTGATGAGTAACAAGTATAACTATAGTGCAACCAATATATGTTTTGTGCAACCAAGTTAATCATTAAGGTTGCACAAGGTGCAGTCTATTAAAAAACCCGAAATCGACCCCTGATTGTTGAATATGTATCGCTGCTGTAGGTCCTTGTTTGACAACATGTGTAACACCCAGTCTGTGACGATGATGTACTGTAATGCAAGTTTCTTGTGTTAGAAGCCCCTGTGTATTTGATCACATGCTGTATCCTCGACCTACTGTTAGGTTAGGTATCCTGTGTATTTGATCACATGCTGTATCCTCGACCTACTGTCAGGTTAGGTATCCTGTGTATTTGATCACATGCTGTATCCTCGACCTACTGTCAGGTTAGGTATCCTGACTCACCTTATTTCATTTCACCCAGCCATCAGATAGTCCATCCATTCCAATCCGTTCATCACTGAAGGATAATTGTTTTGACAGACTTTAAAAACTAGACTAACTCTTAGTGTCTGGAAATATCATTTTGATAGAAACAAACAATCCTTTTAAATTGAAAAGAAGCCGAGTGAGATGGGAGATTCAGAACCCGAGGACATCTAGACCTGCTTCATTTAGGGTTTGGCTGGGGAGAAAATAATATGGTTCAGGGACTCTACGACAGACAAGTAGACTTGAATCAACCTGTATATGTTTGTTTGTTTGTTTGTTTGTCCGATAATGCTCCCTAATTTTATCCCCTAACACAAAGCTAGATAGAGATGAAAGTTTAGGGTCTGTACATCATTCCGTCAGTTCATCAGTCCGTCCTATTTTATACATCATTAATGATAAATTTGTTGATGGAGGTTTAAACTCAGCATCAGAAGAGAGAAAAATAAATGAACCTGTTTTTAATTTATAGCTAGATACTGAATCAAAGAGCTAGATACTGAATCAAAGAGCTAGATACTGAATCAAAGAGCTAGATACTGAATCAAAGAGCTAGATACTGAATCAAAGAGCTAGATACTGAATCAAACAGCTAGATACTGAATCAAAGAGCTAGATACTGAATCAAAGAGCTAGATACTGAATCAAAGAGCTAGATACTGAATCAAACGTTTGAAACCTGAGTATTCTGCTCCAAATTCAATTACGTGCAGTTAAATCTGCACAATATCTGAATGTAATAGTTACTAAAAATTTGCCTAAACTTTACATTATTTAATAATGCCCCCCAACAATTACTTGTATCTTACTGTATCTTCCTTGGCAATGGGGGTGGTGGGGGAGCCTAGTGGTTAAAGCGTCCGATCGTCACGTCCGGGTTTGATTCCCCACATGGGTACAATGTACGAAGCGCATTGTTGGTGTCCCCCGTGGCGATATTGCTTGAATATTGCTAAAAGCAGCGTTAAACCATACTCACTCATTCAGTCCTTGGCAATGTTCAAATACTACTGAGTCAACTTTAAATTTTAGCTGAATCACTCACTCCTTGACCTGTTTTCTATCATGTGACAGAGATGGTATGTGCACTTCCATGACCTTGACATTGTAACCCACAGAGTGAGTTCAGCATGGCAGTTGCTAAGCTGCTGTTCCTGGAGTCAAGGAAAGGTAACTCTGCTGGTGGCGGTGCCAACTTGGTGTCATGCGGCTGCAACGGATGGGTGCGTTTCTGGAACTCGTCTAAGAACGTCTTACTGGCTGAATTTGTCGCCCATCTTCACGGTGAGAAAAAATAGACGTTGTTTAAAACCTTTCATCTTCAGATTGTAGTGGACAGCTTCAGATTTTATTCATTGGGAATTCTGGATCCTGATGGAGTGGGTTGTTACTTCTTATATCAATCACTGGTTTGTTGGGTCCAACAGGATTGATGATGAGAGCGGCACTAAATAGCCAAATGTTAATATCAATCTTTCTACATCACCCAAGCACACACACACACAAAAAAAATTTTTTTGCTGTTACTTGGATACCAAATTGGTTAAGTCTCCCATTCATGAAGTAAGCTAAGAAACATTGGGCAGTATATTTGTCTTTTTATTGTGGAACAGTTGTGTAAGCTGGTTGCTAGCATGTCACCATTCCCTGAATGCATCCTCTGTGCTCATAATATCAATCATTGGACTTTCTGGCCAAGCTTCATTCTTTACAAGCTGCTGTCAAATAGCTGGAATAGACATAATTTGGACATTTGATTGTGAACATGTGTGTATTTCCCCAGCTGGGAGTATCATCATGGCGACGGACAAGATGAACCAGTATCTGGTGACAGGCGACGTCGATGGCCTGGTGAAAGTCTGGGACATTGCTGAATACTGTACTCACCATGTGGACAAGCCATTACAGACACCTCCCCGTGAGTAGACTAACATTGTTGTATTGTACTCACCGTATAGATCAGCCATTACAGACACCTCCCCATGAGTAGAGCTACACTGTTATACTGTACTCACCATGTAGACAAGCCATTACAGACACCTCCCCATGAGTAGAGCTACACTGTTATACTGTACTCACCATGTAGACCAGCCATTACAGACATGTCCCTATGAGTAGACTTACATTGTTGTATTGTACTCACCGTATAGATCAGCCATTACAGACACCTCCCCATGAGTAGACTTGCATTGTTGTACTGTACTCACCATGTTGATCAGCCATTACAGACACCTCCCTATGTACACCGACGCTATCAATGTTGGAATTTTAGAGTATCTTGGACCCCAGGCACCTGTTGTTATCAAGAGAAGCAGCTAAATGGGTCGAACCAGGCTCTGTGACTTAATTGACAGAATGAAATTCAAGTGTAACATTGGACCCCAGATATCATTTCTTATTAAAAGTGGCAGCGAAATACATTTGATATTCTTCCGACGCTATTAGTTGATTGTTTCCTTGGTAAAGGGATGTTGCTCATACTTTCAATCACTGGTTTTCTGAGCCAGATTAATTTTGTACAAAAAGCCACAATTCTTATCAATACAGTCGAGCCAGTGCATCTAAAGAGGAATGATGGTGTCTGCTAGGGGTGTCACGATACACCAATCTCACGATACGATACGTATCATGATTTTAAGGTCACGATACATAATTTTCGCGCCTTTTCATACCATTACCTTACCGGCAACGTACGCGCTCGCTGATTGGTCCATCAAAATAGTCTAGCCAATCACAAAAGCTGTTAGTTTCCAACCTATTTTTTAAGTAAAGCTAGCTACATCTATTTATCGGAGCGGTCTGGTGTAATTTTACTATCAAGACTTTGACGGATATGGACATAAAATAAAAATTTGAATCGATAAAGTTTTAAAATAGGAATCGATACACGCAAGCATGTATCGCGTATCGTATCATCAGTAAAAATGTATCGATGCATCGATACATTCGCGTATCGCGACACCCCTAGTGTCTGCAGCCGTGGTGTCTGCAGCCAGTGTGTGAGAGATGATAGGGACATATCTCACCTTGCGGATCTAATAATGTGTTGTTTGTTGTGTTAGCTCTGAAGTGCCAATACCAGCCTCACAACGACATGATCAACTCCCTGGATCTGTGTGAACGCAACGACCGTTCCCTCGTCATCTCCGCCTCCTCCGACTGCAGGGTTGCAGTCTGGGATGTACATGGCAACAAGTTAGGAGTCTTTGGTCAGGTACGGTGTTCATATAGCACAGCAGCGGTGCGAAATAACCACTGGCCCGCTAGCCTGTGTCTAGTAAAACTTCAATTGGGCCAGTAAATTTCCACAGTCACTGGCCCGACTGGCTGGTGAAATTTCATAGGGGCATTTTGTAAATATATCACCCTCTCCAACTTGTTAAGTTAAGACACTTTTAAATCATGCAAGATTATAGTCATCATATTAGCAGCTAGCTGATGAAACTGTGTCAACATTCAAATTTCTGGCCAGTGAATTATTTTGTGGGCTAGTAGCTTTCAGGCATAGCTAGCTCGACTGGCTTGCAAAATTTTGAATTTATTTCGCGCACTGTAGCACAGACGATAAAATGTGAATGTCAAAGGTCCATTTCATCACCTCAGTTTTCAAAGCTATGAAAATCAGGGCACTTGTATTGAAGTTTTACAAACCTCACACATCTCAGGACTACCGGATCAATTCTAACCCGGATCTTCACAGGTCACTGACTTGGCTGACACATGTCATTGTATGCCTTTTTGCTTAGATCGATGTTCATGATGTTGATCACTGGATATTGCTGAGTGCAGAGTTAAACAACAACTAAACCAGGAATACCTTAGAGTTAACTGTGCTGATTCAATTACAGTAAGGGTTGAATCGCTAGTCTAGTGGTTATAGTGTTCACTCGTCGAGTGGGGTCGATTCCCCACATGGGTACAATGTGTGAAGCCCATTTCTGGTGTCCCTGCCATGATATTGCTGGAATATTGCTATAAGCTGCGAAAAACTAAACTCACTCACTCACTCAGTTGCAGTAAACTGTGGTTACAGCGAACTGATGGGGACTGCTATTTTGTTGTAACTGTTGTTCAGTATTCGTGTTTGAACTGAAATAAACAGCATGTAGCCAGGACACCAAACAAACATTATACGTTGTATGCTTCTCTTGAGGGTAATACGGTCTGATGTACGCCTGTTTGAAGCAGTGTCACCCGAGCCGGTAGGCGAGAAGCATACAGCGTATTTATCTTACCGCCATGTTAAATATACAAAATATCATTTTATTTTATGTTAAAGATCGCGACCGACTATATGACATGCAAATAAAATGGCGTCTGCCTCTCGACTGGAATTTTAACATCAATGTTTAATTATGTTTAAGCTGAATGTGCAAACCACTCAATGTATGAAATAGCATAAATAAAGCAGTGAAAGTGGGTAAAATAAACCTGTACAAAGTGAACACAAAAACAGCTGGTCGAACAGTTTTCGAACTCTGGGCACGGCATGCGTCATATTATGACATCATAGGATTGTTAACGCTTCAGCTTCTCGGCAGAGAGCTTGGCGGTTTCCGTGGCAGCGGGTAATATGTTTTCCAGTTGTCACCCTCAAAAAGCTGCTGGGTTTTGGTGATGCAATGTTTCTTACTTGAATATTTTTCACATCACTTTGCATCCAGGTGACTGATATGAGTCAATGCAATAGTCACCATGATTAGGTCACTGTGATGTGAAATGTGAACAGGTTGGACGACTGAGTTAAGTTAAGATGTGTTGGTTCCAGGAGGAGCACTGGAAGATTGAGCCATATGACCCCACAGCTGAAGAGGAAGAGGAGGGATACAAAACAGGTGAGCCCCCCTCCCCCTCTACTGTCACCCTGCCTCTATCTTCCCCATCTTTCGATTTTCAGGGGAGGTGGGGTAGCCTAGTGGTTAAAGCGTTGGCTCATCACACCAAAGACCCGGGTTCGAATCCCCACATGGTTACAATGTGTGAAGCCCATTTCTGGTGTCCCTCGCCGTGATGTTGCTGGAATATTGCTAAAAGTGGCGTTAAACCAAACTCAGTTAGTTAGTCTTTCCATTTTCACTCTCCCTCAACCTAATCTCTCTCCCCCTCGTCCAATACACTCCTTTGTCCAATCACTCCTTGCTCTCATCCCTTCCTTTTCCGCCTTCCTATCTCATTCCCAGTCCCTTTTCCAACTTCCACGTCTTGTTCAACCTGTGTCCCTTTTGGTGTTCATATTTAGCTAACATGTTTGTTTAACCTTTGAAACCCATGTGGTGCGTCCAGCTTCATGTAAAGATTTTAACATAATGTAACATTGACGAGGCAACCTATTTTCAGGTAAATGTATGAGACGACACCAGTATTTAATAACACACAAGAGATAAACATTGGAGAGGGAGTCTGCCACACTTGCCTAACACCATACCATTACACGTACATTTGTTTACTCTTAAATACTGTTTACAGAACCTATGTTGTACGTCCTCAATAACTTTACAAAATTCAGTGCCTCAAATTTCTGTGTCACAGCAGAGTATAGGTGCAATCATTGAGTCAAATATTCTAAATAAATCACAGCCATCTATGTCTATGTTACGAATTTTTCTTTGAAAAATGAATAATGATAAAATTGCTCTGTTAGCCTGAGATGATAAACATAGCTGTGCTTTGCTCCACACAAACTTGGGTGTGAAGACAATACCCAGATACAGTCAGCTCTCGTTAATCCGACACTTGTGGTTGCAGATAAATATGTCGGATTACCGAGAATGTTGGATTAATGTATTTGTGTGAAAATATCAATGTTTACTTAATGTCTTGATCGTCATACTGTTGCATGCATATCAGAAATTGTAGATCTGGTTATCGTCTTCGTATGTAAAAACATTCACTGTAATATAAAATATAACAATACATCCTTGATATCATCTTGGCCTGTTAAATAGAGAATCTCACCCGAGTGTCTTTTGATATCAAATATATCACCACGAGTTGATAAAGTTACAAATATCCGAGGTTTGCCGAGGATATTTTGACTTTTATCAACGAGTGTTGATATATTTAATATCAGAAGACACGAGGGTGACATTCTATTTATCATCAAAAATCACTCTTCATTAGTTTTCAATGAAAAATGTACATCTCTGAACATGGTACTGCCATTAGACTTGCAGTGCAGATATGTCATAGCATTGAGACGTCATCAAGTTCATGATGTCATAGCATTGTCAGGGCATTGTACAAAATCTACTGTCAAAATGATATCTCCTAGGAGATATCATCTGATCTCACACAAGCAATATCTCCTGTGGAACACAGTTTTTGATGATAAATTTCCATATTACCAGTGGTTTAGGTTTGTCAGTGCCTGATGCGTTCACCACAAGCATAACAGTAACATTTTATACAGCTCGCTCTATTGTTATTTCTTGATTAAATTGTCTCAATTAATTATTTTGTGTTTCTAATTAACAAGTGTGATGTTCACCGACGTGGGTGTCAAGCAGCCAGTAAAGCACGCGCTAATCATATGTGATTGTTTGTTTACGGTCGGATTATCCGACCGGCTGTGTTGATTGTCGGATTAACGAATGTTTTTACAATGTATTTACAATGATCACTTGCTAGATTGGTATGTCGGAGTCGAAATGCGAGAATGTCGGAGTAACGAGTCATTATCACAGTTTTAAATGGTTCCCTAAGTTTTTGTCGGATTAACGTGATTGTCGGATTAATGAGTGTCGGATTAATGAGAGCTGACAGTATCTATAAAAAGAGAGAGATTCAATCTGTTGACCCTTATAAAACCATTTCTCATATGATCGTAGAGGACCACCGTTCCTAAATACCATTACTTTAGTCTTCTTAAGATTGACTTGCATTCCAGTTTCATTGCAAAAAGTTTCTAAGACATTAATCTTCTTTTGTGAAAGGGGGCGGTGGGGTAGTCTAGTGGTTAAAGCGTTGGCTCGTCACGCCGAACACCGGGTTCGAATCCCCACATGGGTACAATGTGTGAAGCCCATTTCTGGTGTCCTCCGCCGTGATATTCCTGGAATATTGCTAAAACTTTAGTAAAAGCGGCGTAAAACCAAACTCCGTCAGTCAGTCAGTCTTTTGTAAAAGGTGACACATGTCAGCAAGTGCTGAGATATCATCAGCAAACATAAGTGCACATAGGTTGTCCATGGCTTGTGTAATAAAAACTCCTTTACCACCATCATTTAACATTTTCTTTAAATTTTTCATTATAAAAAGAATAAACATTTGTGGACTTAATATGCACCCCTGACGGGTACCCACATTACAGGTGTAGCATGATGGCAGCCCACAGCTTGTTCTTACACATGATGAAAGTTGAGAATACATCGAGACAATGATGTTGTAACTCTTGCCAGATACTCCAACATGAAGAGATCTTAAAAGTATATCATGTCTTATTTCATCAAAGGCCTTTGAAAAATCTGTGAAAAGGCAATAAAACCTTCCTTTTTTCTTACATCCATATTTTTGAATAATTGCCTGTAATGCAAATATGTGATCAGTAGCTGAGTAGTGGGCTCTGGAGCCGGCTTGATGTTCACTTTTTATTTGGTTTAATTCACACCATTTCTGTAGTCTTTTATTCAAAAAGATAAATATTTTACATGCTGTGTCAATAAGGGAAATGGGTGCCCAGCACTGTATTTCTCGTTGTATAGGGTAACTTCTTAAGGATCATCCTCGATAATATCCAGGGTATACGTTCCGATAAATCTCCACTATACCCTGGATGCATCTACGTGTTTTACCTCCCTTTGCTGGCTCTGCCTTCATACAGTACCCAATCGGATAAGCCGTTGCAACCAAGCCTACAAGTGTCAATAAAGATAAGGTTTGCTTGCTGTGCGACTCGACTCAGACTTAGGGGAGAAATCATACAGACAAGTTGAGAGGTCTGAAACCTTTTATGAAAAATATATGCAAGAACTCCTTCTACCTCTCACAGAGTACCTCTGCAACAATTGTGTTGCCAGCCTTAATCGGTTAGATAAGAGAAGCGAAAGTGAGTTAGCCTTGTTAGAAGCCTTGTGATTGGTACATTCAACTTCCCAGCATAGACACCTGATTGGATAAAAATCCAGCAAGGGGAGGTAATAAAATTATCAGGCTGAACTGTAGATGCATCCAGGGTACTAGTGGAGATTCATCGGAACATCATGGTGCCATATTATCTTGGTGCACCTTGTGGCTGCACAGGTTGTATAATCCCCAGGGAGTTGAGATTGAAAAAATATGTTGTGCCGTTGAGATTGACTTCCAATGATCGAGGAAAAAACAAAGCACTTTGAGCATGCATGTAGGTGAGATTGACTATGGCACTGTATAAATACCCATATAATAATAAAAATTTAAATGTGATCAGGTTTGCTGACTTGGCATTGTATCTTGTCTACATCTATGGTTGCTTGGATGCTCCTGACTACGGATTGAAAGAGAAACAGATACAATTGATGCAGAGACCTGGCATAGCTTTTAATGAATACATTCTTACAAAGTAGAACTGAAGCCAACTCTTGTCTTTCTTACATGCTATGAGCTACTGGTGCAAATCTCTTCTCATTTTATAACTCCAGGATGTTGCAGCTGATAAGCTTGACCTTGACCTTGTTGAGCCTGACGATGAGAGCCAGTGGGAGCCGGATGAGTCTGCTATATACCAGCCCCAGGACTACCGACTCAACACCTGGAACAACACGGTCCTTGGTGAGTTAGTTGTGCAGGATTCTGTACCTTTGACTTGCCAGAAAGTGTTGTTGACGTTTTGAATCCTAGATGTTTGCCATGCTTTGTCAGCACCACAGCCATACAGAGTTGTCTCCCTTATGATGACAGCACTATAGCCATACAGAGTTGTCTCCCTTATGATGACAGCACTATAACCATACAGAGTTGTCTCCCTTATGATGACAGCACTATAGCCATACAGAGTTGTCTCCCTTATGATGACAGCACTAAAACCATACAGAGTTGTCTCCCTTATGACTTTTGAATTTAGCCATGTAGAGTTGTCTCCCTTATTGTGTCAGCTCCATGGCTTTGTAGTGTCACTTAGAATAACATGTCCATGAGATGACAGAGTTGTATCCCTTAGCCATAGCTATTTGTGTAGCCAGCAGTTCCACTAAACATCTTCAACCTACATTATTTCAAGCTTTCCACCACATGATACCAACGTGACATGATAAAATTAAATCATGTTCAAAGCACAGTTTCATTGCCACATTTCATAAACAGTCCCCTTGACAACATGTCCCCCTTGACAACATGTCCCCCTTGACAACACGTCCCCCTTGACAACACGTCCCCCTTGACAGCATGTCCCCCTTGACAACATGTCCCCTTGACAGCACGTCCCCCTTGACAGCATGTCCCCCTTGACAACACGTCCCCCTTGACAACACGTCCCCCTTGACAGCATGTCCCCCTTGACAACATGTCCCTCTTGACAACATGTCCCCCTTGACAACATGTCCCCTTGACAACATGTCCCCTTGACAACATGTCCCTTTGACAACATCGTCCCCTTGACAGCATGTCCCCTTGACAACATGTCCCCTTGACAACATGTCCCCTTGACAACATGTCCCCTTGACAGCACGACCCCTTGACAGCGCGACCCCTTGACAGCATGTCCCCCTTGACATCATGTCCCCCTTGACAACATGTCCCCTTTGACAACACGTCCCCCTTGACAACACGTCCCCCTTGACAACATGTCCCCCTTGACAACATGTCCCCCTCCTTCCAGGCAAAGACTACCAAGAACTGCGGGTGCGGAAACGAGAGCGGCGTCAACCAGGCACTATCCCGAACCTGCCGTACCTGCACTGGGAGCGGACCGGAGCGCCACCTGCTGGGCCCTACTCCGTGAGTAACTCTTGCAGTGCCTCTGTACATGTGTAGTGAGGCGGCCATTTTATTTTCAAGGATGTCATGGAAAAGTATTCTCACTAAACTCTCGGATGATCCAAAATCAGGATTCTTAATTTATGGATACCAGTGAAAGATTTTTTTTCCTTATTGGTTTTAAAGAAATATGTATTAAAAAAAATAAAATAAAACCTTTTAAAATATTTGATCATGCATGAAAACCCATGATCCCTTTAAGATCAAAATGGTCCGGCCCAGATTTCATGATGCTGAACATGTCTCCTCACCTAATTTACTTATAACGGAATTGGATATTTCAGGTTTTGTACGAATTTCCTGGCTCTCTTTCAGCATTGACGTAATCTGGTATTTTGACTACCATCACTCTTAAAATGTTCAGATTTTCAACAGAGGTTCCCTTCACTGTCAACTATCCATAATCAGTTGTATGGATAATACTTCCGTGCCTGTGCATGCCAGAAATGTTATTTCCTTCCTCTGTGGGTTGTTGTTTATAGATTTTCGATTTTATTTGTTTGATCGATAAGGTTGGATTGATGATAGTTTGGGAGATGTTGTTATGGTCTATCATGTCCAACGGCTTGCATCTTGTAGCTTGCAAGTTTATCCCAGGAATGTACTTCTGGTATCTATGAATGTGAAATTTTGTATTCACTGTGAATAACTACTTTACCATGTTCATGTCATGGCACACCCTACAGACATATCCTTGCTTACAGAATGCCTACACATCGATATTGAAACGCATTACAGAACTTATTGGGAACAATATGATAATAATAATAATTCAAATTTATGGCGCCTAGTATCCATCTGTCTAGTTGCTCACTGAATGCTCTGATCGCAAACTGATTATTATTACCCCAGATAACCCAAGCTGCCTGTGAGGCACTAGACGGTTATTAGTCACATGACTTATCCCACCGGGTACCCATTTTCTGCTGGATGAATAGAGGTAATTTTGAACAAACTCACTTGCCTAAGGTGGGACCACATGTATCACATGTGCTTAATTGTGGGGCAGGACTGAAGTCCTGGAAACTCTCAGGAGTCAAACTGTCACACACGGTCACCCATCTGAGGCCTCCCCGTGCTCAGCGTTGCTTAACTTCAACTGATTTGTGACCTGAGCTCTATGCACACGACCACACACCACCACCAGACAATATTTTTTTTTATATCTCAACCAAAGTTTATACGTTTGTCTAGTGACATTTATTGAATAACTGCTAAGTACACAGACTGTCGACGACGAACGGTGTCGTATGAACCTGTTTACTCCTCATCTTTGACAAAGTGAGTGATTGAAAAAGTTTAGTTTTACGCCGCTTTTAGCACTATTCCAGCAATCTCACAGTTGGGGACACCAGAAATGGGCTGCACACATTGTACCTATGTGATGCGTGACAAGTTTGTTGCTATGGTTTCATAGGTACTACGTCACAGAAATATGTTTATGTACAGCGAAACCTCTGACGTTTTAACACTACGCTGCAACTGGAATTTGGCTGGTGCAACTAGGTTTTTATCTTAGGTTGCACCTTGTGCAAGTAGGTTAACATCTCTTAAATCGAGCCCTGCAATCTCATATTAAATTGACAACAACCCTGGTTTTGATAAAACAAGTAATAAATGTTAACCCCGATCACCGAAATCTGCCTCTTTTGCCAATATCGATGGCATTTGCAAAAGTATCATCTGTTGAAATTGAAGCCCCACTCAGAGGCTGATTTCACAAGTCAAAAGCATATGTCAGAATTATTTCCAAAATAGGTGAGGTGAGGTGAAATTGTGCTTTACGTCGTGCTTGACAATATTTCGCTCATGATGAAGTGCATGCGTGTGTATGTGTATGTCCGGCTGCTTGTACTAGCCCAGACTTAAGCTGGTTTTATCGTGCAAGCCCACTGAGATACCATGCCGCAGTGAAGCATGAATACCCCACTCAGACACATTATACTGACTCCGAGCCGACCAGTCCTTGTTTTACCCATTAATGCCGAGTGCCAGGCAGGGACCAACAAGTACCATATTTTAACGTCTTTTGGTATGATGTGGTCGGGGATCGAACCCGCGACTTTCTGCTCTCCAGGCGGACGTTCTAACCACTACACCACGGAGGCGGTCTCCAAAATAGGAATAATAAGAGTCATTATTGACTCTGCGGGTGTGGGTTCGAATCTCAGATGGGACTCAACCCAACACAAGTACTAGAATCTGTACTTTACTGAGAAAGTTACATTTGACCACTTTCTAAATGGCACTGTGTATTGAGTAATCATCAGGTCTAAATATAAGACTCAATTTGAATAATATTTGAATTTGAAAATTTGAATTTTAACATATAGTGAATTTACTCAGATGTATGGAACATGTTATCTAAACAAATTATCAGATAAGAAACTTGGTCAATAAAATGTGAAATCTGAGATAAGTTCCCTGTAACATGTAACAGTAACAGATGCGGAGGTGACTGTGTATGTTCTCGTAAAACTAAGTCGTCAACGAGCAACCATCTGTACACACATTTATCACCAATTTGGCTGTGATTTGGTTGCAAACGAAAATCAAATGTACGACTTTAAAAACTTTTCGTATCATGATTGAATGAAACTTATTTTATCAGAAACTTTAACTATATATTTAAAAGATAATAGCATTTTGGAATAACTGCTTGCTTTTGTCGGATAATATTTACGTAGGGAGCAGTTTGAGCAGTAACCTCTGGTTGGTGGGTCAACCTCCAGGTTGAAACCTTCTGTTCGCTCATCATGCCGATGAGCCGTTTCTTATATTCCTTGTGGGTAGATTGTGTGAAACCCATTTCTGGTGTTTCACTCACCCATTCACTCACTCACTCTCTCACTCACCCATCTACCGACTCACTCACACTCACTCAATTGCCCATCCTTTCACTCACTCACCCATCCACCGGCTCACTCACTCAGCTATCTACCGACTCACTCACACTAACTCGCCCACCCATTCACTGACTGACTGACTCACTCACTCACTCACTCATCTACTCACTCACTCACTCACTCCAGGCTACTATTCTTGTGGAGTGAGAAAAAAACATTTTACCCTTCGTTTATTCAGTCTCATCATAAAACAAGATACATAATATCGGAGTTCATTGTGTAAAACCACCAGTGAATAACAGTGACAACTAACCGATGAAAATAACAAACTCAGCGCGCTTTCTGTTCCATGTGCAGATGTTTAGATATGTCTGGGACATGCTTGGAAACATCTGAGACACAAGCGAAATATATATGAGATATATCAGATGTATGTGAAACACATGTGAAATATATATTGAAAATATCTGACACACACATAACAAATATGAGATATATCAGACATCTGAGACACATGCAAAATAAGTAAGAGAACTTCATTTTAAATTTACGGTTGAAAAAACTTGGGAGATATATCGGAGTCAATCAATGGTGATATAATAATAATGAATGTTTTGAGAGAGCATCACCACCTGCACTTCCTTATGACCATAGTTGTTTGTACAGTAATCGCTCTTGAAAGATGATTGGTGTATGACGTGAAATTTGTATTTGTACGATTTTCATTTTCGAACAAACAAACAAAAAACAAAATGGCTGGAAACAAACACTATCAACTGTGTGATTTCAAGATGATTGTCAAAATTAATGGTCTACAGGGATTTATCGACCTTGAAAACCGTCAAAATTTAGAATGACACTCCATGCACGTGTATGGGGCTACTGCGTGCACGTGCATCCCATGCATTGTGTTTAGGGGTGGTGATAAACAGAAATGGTGGTGCGTTCATAAGATGTCTGTCTTTGGAAAGTTTGTTAACGCTTCTACTTTCTATCCAAATTGAAAGTTCAAGTTCCCCTACTTTTTTTTAAGAGTATATATGTTAAATATCTGAGACGTGTGACAGATTCATGTGCAATACATCAGACATGTGAGACACATGTGAAGTATACCTGAGATATATCGGAGACACATGAGATATATATGTGACACATGTGACAGATGATACATATTTTAGATATATCTTATACATGTCGGATATATCTTATACATGTCGGATATATCTGATACGTGTGAGATGTATGTGCAATATATATGAGACATATCATATGTCTGATATATGAGGCATGAAATATATCTGTGACATACCAATATATCTCAAATATAACTGTGGTATATATACTTATGGAAACAAATAAGGGAACACCTGAAAGTACAAGTGTTCCTTTACTCTTTTCCAGGTTTCTTCACGTGGTATGTATTGCACTGTGGGTGAAATTCTGGAAATAAATAAAGGAACACTTGTACTTTCATGTTCCCTTATTTGTTTCCATGAGTATATAACATTAATCCGAAATATATACACCATATTAACTAACACCTGTCTGAAATATACAACATAGCAGACACACACATCGGTCCAGGATATATCAGACACATATAAACTAACACACATCCAGGACATATCTGCAACATATTCCACTCGAAAGAAGTTAAGGAATTCCAAATTGTTTTCATTTGACACTGATTGGTCATTACATGTCAAATTATAGTCATGTGTTTGTCAACTTCATTTTAGTGGTCAATCCAAAACCTCAGACACACGCCGGACACAGCTGAGCTATCAGACACATAAATGACACATACCCACTCACACCTAAAGGAATCTGTGCTACAACACTGTGTTCCAAAGTTATTACAGTATTTTGGACCAGGATTAGCGGAAACAACACTGAAGACATATCTCTTCTCCAATCATGTTTCTAGTTAAGGTCAGACCAAATTTATTTCTTGTTTTTTATGGATCCGCCGGTCATATTTTTGAAATTTATTGGCCAAAAATGTAAACTTACAAGAAACATTTTTTTAGTTTGTTTTTTTTTGCACCATATACACTTGATAAATTGCCAAAAGTAAAATACTTTAGTATTTTAAAAGAATATTACTTTGACTGGTGTTCTTGTTTCCCTCTTGCCTTTAAGTTTTCTGAGGACAAAAATCTGTAAAACAAGAAATAAAATTGGTCTGGCCTAAATTGTAATCATATTAAAAAATCGTCTAGTTTAGGACTTCAGTACACCTCGGACTATTTGATTTCATTAGAAAATAAACAAACGGCAAATGATTCCATGGCATATGAATGGCTACCCAAGCAAGGGATATAAACACAAACCTATATATGTTTCAAGTAATTTATAACAACAATTTAAGCCAATGATACAAATCACTTAGTTAAACAATGAGAACAAAACATAAACAAAACAAAGTCAGTGTTTTTGACCCCGTGAAGATCTGGGTTGGAACTGGTCTTCAGTAACCCATGCTTGTTGTAAGATGTAAGGGATCAGGTGGTCGGGCTGGCTGACTTGATGCGTGTTACCTAATCCTGATTGTGTCGATGGAAGATCATACTGTAGATCACTGGATTGTCTGGTCCAAACCACCGCCATATAGCTGGAATATTGCTGAGTGCAGCGTAAGAGGCGACTAACGGGATTGGTTTGTCAGGCTCACTGACTGGGTTGACACATGGCATCGTATCCCAATTGTGTAGATCGATGCTCATGATGTTGATCACTGGATTGTCTGGTCCAAACTCAATTGTTTACAGACTGCTGTCGTGTAGCTGAAATTTTCCCAAATGTGTGTACCCTAACGTTTTAGCGGTAAAAATAACTGCTTGGTAAGCCAATCAAATCACAGGGAATCCCTTGCAATGTATTCATTATGTCTATTTGAATTCGACCCCAGTTATTCCTCAGAATTTGACTGACGTTTTCTGAATAAAGCAAAAAAGTACAGGATACATGCATATCAGACACAGAGAATTCAGGTTGTGCACTTCCCAGCACAACACCGCCATTCACAAACACTCTCTCAAATACTGGACTTGACGAGTATTGTCACGAACTGTTCCTATTGAATCATGGGTATTTACACATGCGATGGCAGAGTTTTAAATAATGGGGGACGAAGTAGGCTGGATTTACATTGATGAAATATAGAACTCACAGTTACATGGGGGACGTGGGTTTCATCATGTTTATGAATTCTAAAAGCCTCAGTTGGGGATGTGGGGGAGGTGGAAAGGGGGGCATCCTTTATGTGATCATCACAAACTATCTGTTGGGGTGTGACTGGGGCTAGACAGGGGAGGGGTGGGGGGTTGATCAGTTTAGGTAGGGGGAAGTGGGCAGAGAGGGCATCGTATATGATTACTATAACTATATGATAACTATCTGTTGGTTGTGACGTGGGGGGGTGGGGGGTGGATGTCATCCCATATGTAAGTATTACAATACCTCAGTTGGGTGTGTCGTTGGAGAAAAGGGCATTGCTTATATGATAGTACAAACCCTCTGTTGGGTGTGACGAGGGGTAGGTGGGGTGTGTGTGATCAGTTTAGGGGGTGGGGAATGGGCAGAAAGGGCATCGTATATGTGATTATTACAAACTATCTGTTGGTTGTGACGTGGGGGGTGGTGGGGGGGTGGATGTCATCACATATGTAAATATTACAATACCTCAGTCGGGTGTGTCGTTGGAGAAAAGGGCATTGCTTATGTGATAGTACAAACCCTCCGTTGGGTGTGACTGGGCTAGGCAGGTCATCACATTATTGAATATTACAATCCATCCCTTAGGGTGGGCGTTTGGGGAGGTGGCATCGTACATGTGAATCTTACAAACCCTCAGTTAGGGTGTGCTTGGAGAAAGGGGCATTGCATATGTGATTATTATTACTCTCCCATGGAAGATACTGCAGTGTAATCTTTTTACGGTAATATTACACTAGTGTAATATCGCTAGCCTTAAGACGTCATAATAGTTTACTCTTATGACATCACAATGCCTCTGTCACAATGGTATTAGACCTTGCTTGACTCTTGGAAAGCTGAGAATCATCACACTACGTAGGCAGTTTCTATCAGTTTATATTTGAGAGTAATAAACAGAATACTAAACTCGCTTCCGCGTAATACCATTTTGAGAAAACAAGTTAATGATTTGGTATCAAACGGAGCAAAAATGAGCCTTTTGTTGTAGGTGGTGTACTGGGGATAATCGTGGGGGTGGGGGGGAAGGAGGTGGCATCATACATGTGATTATTACAAACCAGGGCTCGATTTAAAGAAATGAAACCTACTTGCACCTAGTGCAACCTTAGGTAGAAACCTTGTTACATCAGATAAAAACAGGTTGCACCTGCTGCTCAGTATAAAATCTTGTATAAAATAAAATGTGATGCTTGAGTTTTGGCAATGATGGTTTAGAACATTATAACAAAAGAAATCTGGGACAGATAAGATTAGTTATCTTACTTCCTAAAATGTCATGAACAGTAAGTCATTCAGTCACTGCTCATACAGTCATCAGAGTCAGTTGCTCATCATTTTGTTTTCCAGCTGAAGTCTCAAAAATGACTTGCACCTGGTGCAAGTTAGACCAATAACTAGGTTGCACTTTGTAATGCACCAGTGCAAGTAACAAAACACTAAATCGAGCCCTGCAAACCCTTTATTGGGGGTGGAGAGGAATTACTAGGGGTAGGTGTGGGGGGGTTGGGGTGGGGGTGTCATCACATTATCGAATATACAAACATTCAATCAGGGGTGTGGTTTGGGAGGAGGGAGGGGTCCTCACATTTTGCAAGTTAGATTTCAATAGGTTGGTGTGGCACATGTCAAGTTGCCAGGAAAACGGTACTTGTAGATATTACATAAAAGGTCAAAGAAGTCACAAAGGGAGATCACTCTCCTGCACTACAATGCAATACACTGAGGCTCACAGCTCACTGACAAGTGAAGCACATGTTACAGGCAGGGAAAGGGAGATCACTCTCCAGCACTACGATGCAATACACTGAGGCTCACAGCTCACTGTCACGTGAAGCACATGTTACAGGTAGGGAAAGGGAGATCACTCTCCTGCACTACGATGCAATACACTGAGGCTCACAGCTCACTGACAAGTGAAGCACATGTTACAGGCAGGGAAAGGGAGATCACTCTCCAGCACTACAATGCAATACACTGAGGCTCACAGCTCACTGTCACGTGAAGCACATGTTACAGGTAGGGAAAGGGAGATCACTCTCCTGCACTACGATGCAATACACTGAGGCTCACAGCTCACTGACAAGTGAAGCACATGTTACAGGCAGGGAAAGGGAGATCACTCTCCAGCACTACAATGCAATACACTGAGGCTCACAGCTCACTGTCACGTGAAGCACATGTTACAGGTAGGGAAAGGGAGATCACTCTCTAGCACTACGATGCAATACGCTGAGGCTCACAGCTCGTCACGTGAAGCTAATGTTACAGGCAGGGAAAGGGAGATCACTCTCCAGCACTACGATGCAATACACTGAGGCTCACAGCTCGCTGTCACGTGAAGCTAATGTTACAGGCAGGGAAAGGGAGATCACTCTCCTGCACTACGATGCAATACACTGAGGCTCACAGCTCACTGACAAGTGAAGCACATGTTACAGGCAGGGAAAGGGAGATCACTCTCCTGCACTACGATGCAATACACTGAGGCTCACAGCTCACTGTCACGTGAAGCACATGTTACAGGCAGGGAAAGCTGTGCAATACAGACAAACTTTATGGACAATGTACTTTCCAACTTCTATAATGCTGCTCAAAGAAGGAATAGCTGTGGAGTTAGTGAGTGAAAATGGTTTTACGCCACTTTTAGCAATATTACGTCGGGGGCCCCAGAAATGGACGTCACACATTGTATCCATGTCGACAATGAAACCTGGATCTAGACGGCGTGACGAGTGAACGTTTTAACCACTAGGCTACCCCACTGCCCCAAAAGCTATGGAAGAGATAAGATGATAACATGAGAAATGCAAATTGAGCTGCATCGGAATATATGTAATATTAAGCAAAACCAGTTCTAACTGAAGGGATGTATTGTTTCAAATAATCTTTAGGTCCAGTCTGTCCACACTTCTAAGATAAAAAAATAGCATATTCCCCTCAAACAATAAAAAAAAGACATATTTAACTATTATTATAGTTGAATTCTCTATATGAATTGAATTGTCAATGTCAAAGGTTGCAAAATGTCAAGGTCGTCCATACCACCCATCGGAACAAGGTGAGATGTTTTCATACTACTATGAAACTTTAGGGTACTGTTTCATATGCATTTTGTATTAACCAATCAAAAGTCTTCTAATTTATCTGAAGGGTAAATCATGGTACCTGCTTCTACAAGAACACAATGTATGACCATCTGTGTTCAAACGCTTTCAGTTAATATTTCATTGATATGTCACGCTTTGCAAGAAAACAGACGAAAAATAAATTCCATTATTGTATTATTGGCATTTTGTGTCACACACGTGTCATGGCATCCAATGCACTGGGGCATCCACTTAACAGGGGTCGGCATCCGTATAGGACTAAATACTTTTATAGTATTTTCCATATTTTTCACATTAGAACTGTTAATATCATAACCTGCGTTACTCCAGGCTTTTCTCCCACATGAAACAGACTTGCAGTGCTAAAACTGGAATACTGTTAAAATCAGCGCGTTGAGCCCAACTCACACACTACAAGCATGGGTGTGCCACTACAGCCTTAAAGAGGACAATGGGTAAAGCGAATACCTTTACAAATACTCAGACAGTCATATCACATTTGTATTGACAACATCACCATGGTTACAGTTATTGCCATAGAAACACACATTGTTGCCATGGCAACACTATGTATCCGGGTAGGGCATGATTATATACAGTTGAGATGCAGCAATGTTGGCTTGGGGACACTTCCTCGTTACTGCCCAGTATTCCTCCAATAGTTCAGGGGGCACCTGGTGTGACGTCATCACGCCATTTCTGTAATGACAGGCATCAAATTCTTGGAACATGTTGCTAAAGCCCATGATATTGATCGGCAGAATGCCATATTTCTGAAGACACAGAGCAACATACACATCCTCCAGATGAAAAAACGGAACATTCCGCGAAGAGAACAGCATGGAACGCACAACATCCATGCTCATGATGTATCCTGTTCCTGAACACATTGGGGGGAACTTTGGCTTATGGAAACTTTTAAATGAAACAAACCACTTTGACGACGTGTCCCTGTTGGGGTTCGACGTCCCCCAGCACGACCCCCCCATGAACTTTCTACGCGGCGCTGCTTGCAACATGATAGGGATGAGCTCAGTGTTGACGTACATGTCGTCGTCCGTCTTCATGATGTAGTTGGCGTTGTAGCAGTGTTTGGAAGCCCACTTCAGCGAGGACACAGTTTTATAGGTAAGGTTGGAGTAAGAGTCTTTGAACCCAATCTGCAATATATCTCCATGATGGTCGTTTTCAAGTAGAATTTTATCATTGTCTTCACTTGACGAGGCTAGGCCGACCACAAACAAACACTTCATGGTGTCCGAATCCCGGCACTTGGCACCCCAGGTCTGGCGTATCGTTGACCGGGCCTGGTAGTTGCCCGGTGCTGACGATATCAACATCAGCAGCTGCAGGTTTTGTGAACGACCACTTGATTTGCATAATCCTTCATGGTTTATTAGTATGGGGAAGTTGAAGTCGAAACAACCAGCGCAGTAGTCCGGCCTCTGTGTCCCATCGACCTCGAGGTCCTTGTCAAGGTCATCATTGAGGTCCATGGAAAATGATGGATATTTCCGCTTCAATTCATCGAATAATGAAAGATCATGGCTTGTTCGACTTGTACTTTTGGGCGTCACTGTCACCGTTGTAGTAGACGGCAATGATGTGATGTGTGCGTTCACGTCGGACATCTTAAGTTGATGGGAGTCACGTGACATAGAAGGTTCCCCTGTTTCTTTCACTCTCAAATTACCCGAACTCCTTGTTAAATTTACAGTCTTTGTTTTACTGCTTTCAAATTTCTCTTTTAGAAATAGCAAATATTTGTCTCGTTTACTTTTCTGATCTGGTTTATTACCAGATGTTGTATAAAGGTCACTCCCTGATAACCTTGACCCAGAATTTAAGTTTTTGTTTTCATTCACAACCTTGAACCCGTCACTGCCACCACCTTTGACTTGTAGGTCATTTCGTATATGTCGTGTGTCAGTATTGTCTTTGCGTCTGTGACTACCTTTTCCCTGTGTTGGGAAGTTGACATGATCAGAGGATGACCCTTGAAACTGCGTAGAACGAGGATTGTTGTATGATTCATGAACGATTTTGCTTATTTTATTTCTGCCTGTGTGCACGGATTCATCACCAAACGTCTCTTCGCTGTGAGGCAGGAGAGACGTCCCATTCCTTCTCACTGATGGTGTTCCTCTCTCCAATGCTCTCTCTGATGTACGCTCTCTCTGTGATGCTCTCTCTGATGCCTGCTCCCTCTCAAATGCTCTCTCAGATGCTCTCTTAGATGCCTGTTCTCTTGCCGATGCCCGCTCTCTCTCTGATGCTCTCTCCGGTGTTCGTGCTCTCTCAGATGCCCGCTGACTCTCTGATGCCAGCTGTCTCTCAGGTGCTATCTCCGATGCCTGCTCTCTTTTCAATGCTCTCTCATTATTCAGTATTTTCTCACTCTGCCTATCTAGTATTTTAACTCCTGAAGACTTGGGCAGTACACTGGACTCTGAACTGTTTCTGAAAGAACCAGGATGTTGTTGCCATGACAACAGCTTCTCCTGGACTTCTGAAGCGGATAATCCAAGTTCGTGGATTTTGGACAAAATACTCCCAATTTCATCTTTTGTGAAGGGCTTTCTTCCATTCTGACCTTTGTCCTTGACATCTGTGGTGACCTCTGGGCCAACCTTGACTACTGACCTTGACCTACTTATATTTTGAGCAATTTCTCTGAATGTTCGTAGTGGTGTCTTGGCGGCTAGCGGCTTGAGTCCCGAGGAGTCGTAAGTATTGTAAAGTAGTCGCCAGGAGAACGTTAGCAGGAAGCCACACATCAGAAGGCAGATGACCACAAAGTAACCTTTAGTCCGAGTCAGCAGCGACATGGTCGAGCACCGGTCACTCTGAAACAAGGAACACAAGTTCTAGATACAGACTTGACCGTGTTAAAATACAGGGTTTGTTCCTGAGCACAGGTCACTCTGAAACAAGGAACAGAAGTGTTAGATACAGACTTGACCGTGTTAAAATACAGGCATTGTTCCTGAGCACAGGTCACTCTGAAACAAGGAACAGAAGTTTTAGAGACAGACTTGACCGTGTTAAAATACAGGCATTGTTCCTGAGCATTGGCCACTCTGAAACAAGGAACAGAAGTTTTAGATACAGACTTGACCGTGTTAAAATACAGGGTTTGTTCCTCAGCACCGGTCACTCTGAAACAAGGAACAGAAGTTTTAGATACAGACTTGACCGTGTTAAAATACAGGGTTTGTTCCTCAGCACAGGTCACTCTGAAACAAGGAACAGAAGTTTTAGATACAGACTTGACCGTGTTAAAATACAGGCATTGTTCCTCAGCACCGGTCACTCTGAAACAAGGAACAGAAGTTCTAGATACAGACTTGACCGTGTTAAAATACAGGGTTTGTTCCTGAGCACAGGTCACTCTGAAACAAGGAACAGAAGTTCTAGATACAGACTTGACCGTGTTAAAATACAGGGTTTGTTCCTCAGCACCGGTCACTCTGAAACAAGGAACAGAAGTTTTAGATACAGACTTGACCGTGTAAAAATACAGGGTTTGTTCCTGAGCACAGGTCATAAAGCTAGAGATAGAGTTTGGGAATGGAATTCCAGTCGTTGTTTATGGGATGTTTCTGGTGAACATACTTTGATTTGTAGTACAAGCTGGTCACTGATGTCAATATTGACATTCAGATGTGAAGATTGTCAATGCGACATTAGACACAATCTGTTTGACTGTCCTGACAAATGTCATAGTAGACCCTCCAGCAGCAATAGGTTTGCCTGGCGGAGCTTATCTTATAAGGTACATGAATGCTTAACAGAGTCTTTGCTTGGTCTACACATCCGTTAAACTTAAAAATAAATCAGTACAGAGAAATCAGATTGACAATTTTGTTTTATTCTGGGGTGGTGGGGTAGCCTAGTGGATAAACCGTTGGCTCGTCACGCCGAAGACCTGGGTTTGATTCCCAAAAAGGGTACAATGTGTGAAACCCATTTCTGGTGTCTGCGCCTTGATATTGCTGGAATATTGCTAACAGTGGTGTAGATGTAAACACACTCACTCACTGTTTTATTCCACCAGTGGAAGAATTGCTTCAACAATTATATTAACCATTCAGTGTTTCCCATTCAAACGCTTCAATGCCTCCCATGAAACAGTAAAGTAAAAAGTAATATTTTAGACATATAGGGACTGACTCACAGCAGGTCAAGATCGTTTTTGTCTATTTTTCTGTTTACCAAACTCAGACTTAACAACGTATGGTATGGAGTTACAACTTCTTTATTATTTACAACACATTGTTTCTGGGCTGCTTCTTGACCCTTACATCAGGGCTCCAGATAATTTTTCAACATCAGGAGTACGTACTCCTTATTTTTTCAATATAAGAGTACTGGAAAAACTTCAGAGTACATTTAGAGTACTGAATGGAAATTAGTAATCAGTATTCTTGTGTTTCGTTTGGTATATGCACCACAACATTGCTACTCTTGTGTAAACAGGTCAATAAACAATAAAACAATACTTTTTCATATAAATACGTCTGTAAATGATTCGTACACCATTGCTTTGGTGCATGTCTGCTACGTTTTCAAAATTATTTCCTACCGTATCGTGCATATTTTTTATCCGTACATACGTCGATACGGCCTTATCTGGAGCCCTGCTTACATGATGAAGGTCAAGAAGTTGCCCAGAAACAATGTGTTGTAAATAATAAAGATTGTAAATGCATACCATACTATAAGTTGTATACTTCTCTTCAATATGGTCTGATGTATGCCTCTTTGTAGCAGTGTCACCCGAGCCGGTAGGCGAGGGAGAAGCTTACAACATATTTATCTTCCCGCCATGTTAAATGTGCAAAACATCATTTTATTTTATTTTGAAGATCGATAAGATCGCTACTGACTATATGACATGTAAACAAAATGGCGTCTGCCTCTCGACTGGATTTTTAAAATCAGTGAAACATATTCTTAATGCTTCTATAAAAATTGCTAATTATGTTGAGAGTGCAAACGATGCAATGTTTAAAATAGTTTAAATAAAACAGTGATAGTAGGTAAAATAAATGTGTAAATAGTGAACTCATAAACAGCTAATCGAACGGTTTTCGAACTCTGGGCACTGCATGCGTCATGTTATGATGTCATACGATTGTTAGTGATAGCAGAGAGTTTGGAGGTTACCGTGGCAGCGGGTAATACATTTTCCAGTTGTCACCCTCCTGGGAGGGGTGACACGGAAACTTGTTAAAGCGTCATTGACCAATGAAGTTAAAGTATTTTACGTGAAGGTAAGATAAGTTGCTATGTTACCTTCCAACTTCTAAATGCCCATCAAGCATCAAATCAGACTTGATAATTAGAAATAATCTACAATGATGTTGAGATTTTGGAATGGTTTCCACCTGCTGATTTTTTCACATTGAAAATGAGTAAACAGAAAACATTTGGATGAGCATGTAATATGTTGTTTCAAAATTGACTGACAGCAAATCACCTTTCTCGGCAACAATTAACAGTCAGACATAATATGTTGATAGGGTAACACTATACTCGTTTTAGAGCTGACAGTACACCCAACGTTACGTCTCTTACTGACGGTAAATAATTTGACAAAGTATTTTGAGAGGATAATGCTAGAAAGTTTGTTTCAGAGTTAACTATAGACATAACACTCATTGCTTGGTAACGCTAAATACTTAGGCATGATAGGTTGATAGGGTAACATCATTTTTATAGTTAACTGTTTATATAACATACCTTTCTTACTGACCGCAAGTAATTAAAAAACTATTTTAGGAGGGTAACACAAGAAAGATTGTTCCAGAGGTAACCGTTGGCATGACATTCATTGCTTGGTAACTGCATAATATGTTGATAGGGTAATACAACAACACTGTTTTCCTGAGAGTACACAGTGTATGAAATAAGACCCGTCCGACCACCTGAGACGGGCTAGATTTCGGACGGATGGTCTAAATTTACTGCTAGCCAGCCTGATGGTATGGTGGAAATTTTAGATGTTCAAACAGCTGAGTAAATTCACCATATCTTGATGTCTGGTCTGGAGAAATCCATATTGGGCAGGTAACATTTTGAAGTCACCAGTCCTGATGGCTGGGTTTGGCTTATTTCATACACTGGAGTAAGTAATGAAAAAACCTGTTTTGAGAGGGCAACTTAAGAAAGTTGTTTAGGAGTTAACTCTAGGCATGACGGGGCAGTGGGGTAGCCTAGTGGTTAAAGTGTTGGCTCGTCACGCCGAAGACCCGGGTTCGATTCCCCACATGGGCACAATGTGTTAAGCCCATTTCTGGTGTCCCCCGCCGTGATATTGCTGGAATATTGCTAAAAGTGGCGTAAAACTAAACTCAGTCAGTCAGTCTAGGCATGACATTGTTGCTTGGTAACTGTAAATATTTAGGCATAATATCTTGACACGGTAAAACAACAACGCTGTTTTTGAGCAGACAGTACACCTAACGTACCTCTCTTGCTGACAGTAATGAATTTGACAAAGTATTTTGAGAGGATAATGCTAGAAAGTTGTTTAAAAGTAAACCGTATGCATGACATATTTGCATGGTAACTATAAATAGGCATATGTTGACAGGCCGACACTATAACATCATTTTAGATTTGACTGTACACCTATCATACCTTACTTAGAGTTGGCTGTACACATAACAGTAAAGTTTTAGATTTAGCAGTAAACAATTTGACAAACTATTTCAAACAGCAGCTTTAGATGGGTCATTCTAGAACAGTGTTCCAGTTTTGACTATAGATTTACCTAGTGTGCTTAGCAACAGCACATACCTAGGTATAATGAGCTGAGAAGATAATACTACCACAAAGTGGTCTGTGGACATAACGTACCTTGCTCGGGGACAGTTATCGGCATGTGATAGGACCTGGTGGAATTATTGTGGGTCAGTATACCTGAGCAGGACTCTTCCAATCAAACACCAGCAGGTAACGACAGAAGGGTCCCCCTCACTACAGCTGTCTGAGCAAGCCTGTCACTTGATCTTCAGGTTCATCTCGACTATCATTGTTCAATTCTGTTGACTTTTGTAACCGTACATTTTTTTACCTGTTTGAAAACACTCAATGGAGTCCTGGTAGAGAGAGTCGTCATTCAGGGAGAGAGATGTGTAGTAAACAGTAGAAATTCTATTCAAATTTCTCTTTCTATATTGAATATGAATCGGTTTGGAGTATAATCGATCACTGTTGTAGTTGTAGGGACATATAGCCAAGGTTTGACACAAGCTATACTACAATCGATCACTGTTGAAGTTGTAGGGACTACTAGCCAAGGTTTGACACAAGCTATGCTACAGTCGATCACTGTTGAAGTTGTAGGGACTTATAGCCAAGGTTTGACACAAGCTATACTACAATCGATCACTGTTGAAGTTGTAGGGACTACTAGCCAAGGTTTGACACAAGCTATGCTACAGTCGATCACTGTTGAAGTTGTAGGGACTTATAGCCAAGGTTTGTCACAAGCTATGCTACAGTCGATCACTGTTGATGTTGTAGGGACTACTAGCCAAGGTTTGACACAAGCTATGCTACAGTCGATCACTGTTGAAGTTGTAAGGACTTATAGCCAAGGTTTGTCACAAGCTATGCTACAGTCGATCACTGTTGAAGTTGTAGGGACTTATAGCCAAGGTTTGTCACAAGCTATGCTACAGTCGATCACTGTTGATGTTGTAGGGACTACTAGCCAAGGTTTGACACAAGCTATGCTACAGTCGATCACTGTTGAAGTTGTAAGGACTTATAGCCAAGGTTTGTCACAAGCTATGCTACAGTCGATCACTGTTGAAGTTGTAGGGACTTATAGCCA